GACTGTATTTTACAAAATACTAGTCGACTAAAACACAGCCAAGACAAGTTACTTTGTACAGACCAAAGGTTAGCTTTATGAGTGCACATGAGCTGTATCATTTTAACTTCTATATTGTTAGCCAGGCGTGGGTGAAAAGTCAATATAATAAAAATAATAAATGTATAATGTTATGAAATTTAAGCTATTTAGTCTAAACATTTAGGTATTTGTGTTATAATTTGTGTTCATTCTAGAATGAAAGATGCATAATTTATGTTTATTTCCTATTTTTTATGGTGGTTACGAGATCAGTCAAATTAATTACTGAAAATAAGAGACAAAATATAAAGTTTTTTCTTAAGAAACGTTTGATAACTATTTGGACATTTCTGATGCATAAAAGTATTTTTAATGTTAAGATGAAAATTACTTTGCATGATGATAGGAAAGATATGAAAAGAAAAAAGACATGAGAGAAACATTGCTTTACAAACTTTAAGACTGAATAAAAAATTAGATATTTTGCATATGAAAACATTGTAATGTTTACTGATAAACTGCCAAATTTTGTTAACATTCGCTTAGTAATTTAAAAGTTACAGCATGAAAACTATAACAAGCACAAACCAATTACGAGTTCAGGCCCAAGGACTGAGCCGGGTTGAAAAGAGTTAATTTTAGATTTAGTGCCAATATATGTCTCATTGCCTCTACTTATTAAAAACTGGTTCTCACTGCGATTTATTGGTTTTCATGAATGGATAAACTACTTCAATGGTATAAATGTAGCAAACAAAACGTGTGAAAAGGCTAACAGTTGAAATTGTGAAGTTAAATAATCTGAAAATCTTGAATCAATTATTCATTTAACTAAGAAAAAAAAAAGGTACCATTTATTTTATTTCATATTTTTCAACTTTTCATTTCACTGTGCATTGGTGATTTTGGTATAGTTAGTGATAGGGTGGAGAAAATAAGAGATAAAATATAAAGGTTTATTAAAAAATGTGATATACCTTTTGAAGATTTAAAATTTTTTCAAATGAAATATAAAAACTGTACAATAAAAACAAGTATTTCTATTCTTAACATGAAAATCACCTTTTTTGAAACTAATTCAGTAAATATTTCTTAAATTCAAAGATAATTCTTTAGTAATATTACGTTCTTAAAATACCCAATTTCTGCTCTATAACAGACTTGAAATACTTAATAAAAGCCTGCTGATTCACCTCATTATGCTGTTTTAGTTTAAAAACCAATTAAAATGTAAAACAAAAAGCTAGTGAAAATAACATTCCAAATCAAACTCTGTCTAGAGTAGTGTTTTTCAAATAAGGCTTTAATATTATAATCAGGATTTTTGTAATATATAGCAATAGTTGGTTTCAAAATACTGTTGCTCTAGACCAGTGTTTCTCAACCTTTTTTTGCTTAAGACACCCATACACACTGTCTACAATTTTCATGGCACACCTAACATTTTATAGCCTAAATAACAGTGGCATAGCTTGGGGGTGTGGTGTGTGTGTGTGTGAATCATAGAGATAACCATTATTTTACTAAAACCTTGTGGCATACATTATTATGTATATTATTATAAACTGAGTTTGATTTGAGTTTTAACCAGTGGTTGTATTTTTATTTACTTATGTTGTCATTTTCAGCATTCTACTGACCTGGTGAGTTCAGAAAATGAGTGGCTGTGGTGGATCATAATGGCATTTGGTAAGGACAAAATATAAGAAGTAAAATTAGTAGTAGTAGTAGTTTCAAAATAATAATATAAAATATAGTAAATAAAAATATGTTCTACATGTGCTTATCATATAAAACAACAACTTTGTATTTTGTGATGTTCACAGTATGCATAAGCTTTATATATATACTTACTAGTAAACTAGCACACAGTATATTAATGTGCACATATCCAGAATGTTAATATTAGACAAAAATCAGTTCCAGTTGTGTTAGTTGCTAATATAAAATGATGCTTGGATATATTTCTGTAGGCACTAAATTTATACTTTATTTTCTTTAGGTATCTTGATCTGTGCCCGTTCCTGTTTGCAATATATTCAAGTCAAGCGTGAATGGAGGCTACTCAACCCCTTACGTCGTGAAGGACTGTATTTTCTTTACTAGCTTTTGACTGAACAAACCCATGGTGAGACTAGAACATTTTCAGTATTTTAATGTATGATAGCTTCTTTTAGTTTTAACTCTTTTCAAAATAAATTTTTGAGCCACCTGTTATTAGTCTGGTCTCATTAATGTCTGTGTATAATCTGCAAAAATTTTTTTGTGTATGATATAAAATTTTGATAGAAAATCACGGGTCTTTGGAGTGATATTAAGAAATGAACTGACATAAATTTTGATGTTACTGTTAAATCATTTAGATTTTATTCCTAACTTTCTTATATGTTTCAGATAATGTCAGTAATATCAATATTTGTGAATTCTCACCTTTACGATGAGGGTCCACTTAGCGAGTGACAGTCCAAATCCGGCCAAAGCTCCATACCGCCCAGCCAGAGTTTGACAGAAGCAAACCAGTAGGAGAAATCCTACCCAGTTGAAGAGGAATGCCACTAGAAAGAAATATTAAACAAATCTTAAACAAGTTTAAACAATATTAAACAAGTTCAGCTAATTCATGTATAGCATCCCCCCAGGAAATGTAATTTCCAACTGGAGCAAATACAATGCTCAACAGTGGTACTAAAAGAAAATTATACATATAATATGAAACTCTAAAGAAGAGCTACTAAACAACAATTCAATGTGAAATTACCTAGTTACTCAAGATAAAAACTAGACTTAAAGCTTTGGTTGCTTGTGAAAACTAAATGTACCACACATTCCTCAATAACATCAAATGTTCTAAAAATTTTGTTTTACAATAGTTTCAGTATAAGTTGATAAGAACAGTATTCTAATTTCCTCACATATTAATATATTTAATAATCCAAATGACTTTCATGCACAAAAACATTACTAATAAAAATAATGTTCAAAACTTAGAAACCAATACCACAGTAAATAAATGTATCAAGGAAGGAATACTACATTAATATCTTCAAACTGAATGATGATGTATGTTGAACTGAAGACCAATGCTTCACTATTCGTGGCTGGTCATACAGTGATTTTATCAAACCATAAATTTTTTTAATAAAAATAGTCTTGAAAATTAACTATTGTGAGTTGATAGTTTTATCACCATTTTAACTCTCTGTATACAGGCTCGGTCATTTTGACTGACCTTTTAACCACTATGTAACCTTGAAACTATATATACTATAAATTTTAATGTAATAAGTGTATCTTCATGAAACTTGAGAAGCTTTAAGTAAACATTACATCTTTTTTACGCACATACAGATGAACAGATTTTTCAATTAAGTATTTTCACTAAAAATTTGTTTGTGAATTTATGAAGTCACAGTCTAACTCAGACTCTGATTAGTCTGGGTGCAAGGTTATTTTCATGTTAAGATTAAAAATACTTTTTTTTTATTTTAAAGTTTTCAACTTGCATTTGCATAACATCTAGAATATTCTAAATAAATATCAAATGTTTTTTCGGTAAAACTTAATATTTTATCTGTTATTTTCTCTACCCTAACACTGTATGAGCTCAGTCTATTTTAACAATTTTCTAACTACCACAAAAAAGCATGAATTAAATTTAAATTAGTCCTTTTCCTTTCTAGAATGATTGCAGATTGTAACAAAAAATTACAATTATTCATCCTAAACAGCTTCAGATTTGTAACAGTTTACAGCTGTTTTCATTTAATTTTATTGCTCTTTGAACCTAACTACTAATCATGTGTAACAAAGCTATAAACACCTGGTGAGCAAATAGTTCAAGTTATAGTAAAAAAAAAAAGTATTGAAATACTTGAACTATTTGCTCATGCCTACGTCACAGAGAAAATTTTTTATATTCAATTTTTTCCTCATTTATGTTTTCTCGTCTAACCTAATAAGTTCGTAAGTTTTAGTCACTTTTATAACAATTTATAAAAAAAACAGGGAATTTTGTACTTATGTGTGGGTCTTTTACTTTCTTACAACTGAAGACTTGAAGTGTCGATAAAAGTTAACTTTTTGTTCAGCTGCTATTAGTCCTTTACCAAATTTATATTTATTTCAAATATTCAGTTTAAAACACAATAACTTACATAAAGCATACAATGTTCTGTAATTATTAATAATTTAACTAGCTTTCTAACTAAGCTAGAATAATGTTAAAATAATTCCCCTAGGTGTTCGAGTTGAACTTGGTGATAACAATTTTGAACCTGTTGGCTGAATAATTCAATATCTGTTGTGAGAATGAGGTAGCATTACACATACATCAGTAATCTAAAATATTTTTCTTTCTATTATTATAAATAATGTAACTGCAAACATCAGAAGTAATTACTGACATTTTTTGAAAGACAGTATGTGATAGGAGGGTGTAGTAGGTGGGTTTGAGGCTATAAAGTTAGATTATATATCAGCAATACTTATGTGTTTGTAATTTGCATTAAAATTCAGAAGCTCAAACAGGAGTATAAAGATTATCTAATATGTGCAATTCAGAGCAAACAAGTGCCACATGATACAAAAAAAAGAGAAGATTGAGAATTTATTTAAATATTTTCTCTTGAAATTAAGAAATTAAAACTTGATACATTAACTACGTTTTAATGCCAAGTTTATTGACACGTATTAATAAGAAAGCAGTTTAATTAAATTTTGAATGCAACTTTATAAAAAGGTCATGATGTACACTTTTACTCTTGTATCCAGAGGGTTAAGGAGTAATAGAACAAGTTAAAACATTTGTTTTTATGTCTCAAAAGCCTGTGGTTTGTTTTCAAATTCTTGTACTCATTGACATTAAAAAGCATATTTATAGCTATTTCAAATATTTTTACCAAGTATTAAGCAATCGTACAAGCAAAAAACATGCTTAAAAATTCTGCTTTAAATTATGGTAATCACAAGGTCGTTTTGTACTTATAATAGTTGACGACACACTAGCACTAAATGAATATTAATTACAGTATCATAAGCCAGAAGATTTTAAAATATTTATGACTAAAAGCATCTATCATTTTATAAATCATGCATATATAGGCCTGAAAACTAATGTTGAATATCACTAAAATGTACCATTTCAGTTACTGAATTTTACAAATATATTAACCCTTTTCAATGGGCTCGGTACAAAATACGTGAATTCACATACTCATTTGCACATGTTAAGTATTTATACTATAACTTTTAATGTAGTACGTGTATCTTCACAAAATTTGGTAGACTTTTAGTAAACATTACAAGTCTTTTGTACACAAAAAATTAGATTTTTAATGAAGTATTTTTACTAAAGATTTGTTTGTGAAAATATCGAGTCTGTTTCATTACTAGTCCAAGTGCAAAGTGATTTTCATGCTATGATTAGAAAACTATTCTGCATCCAAAAAATCTCAAATATCATTTGTGTAATCTCTAAATCCTCCTAAATGCATTTCAAACGTTTGTTTTCAGTAAAACTTTATATTTTACCCGTTATTTTCTCTACCCTAACTCTATCTGGGATCCATCAATTTAACCAACCTTGTAACCACCAGAAAAAAATTAGGAAATAAATATAAATTATGCTTTTTTTGTCCTAGACTAACTACAACTTACAACACAAATGTTTAGTCTAAATAGTTTAAATCTCATAACCTTATACATTTTTATATATTTATTATTTTTATTATGTTGACCTTCCAGTCGTGCCTGGGTAACATTACAGAATTTGCAATAACACGGCTCATGTGCACTAATGTTATTGTATCCAAGAGTATAAAACTGGCCTTTAAAAAAGTGACCTGTCTTGGTTGTGATTTAGTATACTAGTATTTTCTAAAATACAGTCACATTTCAGTTAAAATACACTATATATGTATATACGTTATTACTATTTACAAATAAGTTCTTAAACTTATTTTTCTTAAAATGTAGATCAATAAATAAAGAAGTATACCAAACAATTATTTCTTCTAGTTACGACCTTTGTACTCGTTTGGTGCTTGATAATAATACCTCTACTATAAACAAATATATCTATAATAAGTGGTAGCAAACATAGCCTATTTATTTCTAACTTTGCTATAAACATCAGTGCTCACTATCGCAGTAAATATGGTAATCATTGTTTATAAGTGTCAACAAATCCTGTGAAGTGGTCCTGCCATGTACCAGGTAACCTCCTTTGATCAGCACCACCAAAGCATCTTTGAAGTTTGCTGCTACAGCGAAAAAAGGCAGATGACTGCTGATCTCTGCAACTGGGGGTAGATAATATAATTACAGAGTTAAGATTAAAAACAGATCCTTACCAAAGAATGAAGTGAAGAATAGAAAGTCAGTTCCAAGAACCTCCTCACCATGGGACCACAGTGATGTAACATCATCACTCTGAAGAAAAAAAAGAGTGCTTCACATAAAAACATCAGCTGTGCAATAACAATACAAAAGATTACAGCATATGATATAATTTATTGCATTACATCACCTATGGGAGTCAGAAGTATTATTCAAACTCAGTGATTATTTATACCTATTTGGATTTGTGAACAGCATACCTATTTTTGAAGAGTTGGACCCAATTTTGTTGTTTAAGCTTGATTTATCTTATTTACAAATTAAGTTCCTACAATCATATACCAACATTGAACCAAACTTTCTGTAATGATCTCAATCAGTACCCTTTCCCAATTCTCATGCCTTTACTTCATGTCACAACAACCTGCTCATTTATGTAAAAATCATGTACATGTAGTGTTACCTAAGATTTTCTCTGCTTCACTATGGTGCTACTTCACCATCATCTGAATGAATCAAAAACAACAACAGAAAAAAAAAAAGAAAGGTTTGAAATACATACACAAATCAACTAACACATTCAGTTTGAACTTAAACACTCATGGAGTTGATCACAAAAGAACTAATCTTCTTCCATAATTTCTCATAAGTTCCATTAAAACATGTAACTTAAGCTCTCCTTGTTAAATGAAACTTTGCAAATTCGAGATGACTAACTGCTACTAAGGTAATCAATTCTAAAATAGTGTGGCTTAACAAACTTTATGTTACAACAGATATTGACGAAATGATGTGATGATCACCTCAGGTTATGTTTAAGATAGGGAATTTTTTAGAAGAGAGAGATATGTTCTATGATGCAAAATTTTCCACTTATATGATATAATGTTATAAAGAATAATAAGACAAGTTTTTGAGCGACAAAGGCATATTACCCCAAAAGAAGCCTAAGAAAAATCTTAATAAGTACTCTATCAAATGTGATAGTGATTAATTTCAATTTGACAAAGTAGGGGTTATTAATGCAGAAAGAAAAAGTGATTAAATATCAAAAGATAAATTTTATTAATATAAAAATACAAATCAAAATGGAATAAATGTCCAGAAGCACACATGTATCTCTTATTTTTTAACTTATTTTATATCCAACCACATATCAATTTTTTTAAATGCCACATTTGTTATGTGGAACATAATACTAACAGCTTCTTATACAATAGTTGTAGCTTGTGATACCCAAATAATATTATAATTTTGTGAAAGGTTTTATACTTTTTTAAACTATTTTCACTCTGCTTTATCTAAATTAGTTCTAATACACAAAACACAATATTAAATCCTTAATTATGAATCATGAGAAATAAGAAAAAACACAACTTATAATTTTCAAACTTCTCAAGAACATAGTTTTGGCAATTTAATAAAGACATGTGCAAATGAAAAATGTGAAATATTTGTGTGTGTATGTGGTAAAAAGTGCATTACCTGTCTTTGATTTTCACCTTCTAAACCTTTTGATCTCTGGGCCTCTTCATAAGTAGGGAGTTCTGCAGCAGCTACATTATATGGAGGTGGAACAGGAATAGTAGTATAGCCCTTTGGTGAAGTCAACAAATTTGCACTTCTATCTGTTTAGCAAAAGAAAAAAACTAGTCTGTAAAATTAAAAGTAGAAAAGGTTAATAATATTTGTGTTAAAAATGTATTATGCATAAACAGGTTTATTCCTGAAGATTAAATTTGCCCAAAAAGTATTCCATATGTCATTTTAATCTAAAAAAATTGTGTAATTTAAAAAAAAAAAGAGTTCCAGAATAAAGACTTAGGATCATCTGATGTCTAAAAGTGTTTAAAACCTGACATTAATTTACAGAGAACAAATTAAATTTTCTTCCTTGATATACAATGTATAGCTACAAATGACATCAAAGCAATTTAAGATGTGAACCCTCTGTTCATGAGCTTAGTCAAATTGACCAACCCCTCATCTGTGAAGCTATTAATAATAATGTTTGCCATAATCCTGAATTTACTTTGTTCATCTTCACAAAACACTCAAAGTTTTTAATAATGTATTTTCTCTAAAGATCTGTTTGTAAATTTAAGAAGCCTTTACTAAGTCAGCATAAATGAAAGGTGATTTTCATGATAAGAATATAAATACTTTATTTCATAACACAATTTTCATATTTCTATTGCATAACCTCTAGAACCTCCTAAATGAATAAAACATTTTTTCAGTAAAACATTATATTTTATCTATTATCTTCTCTACCCTAAACACTAACTGTAGCAAAATCATCAATGTATAGTGAAATGAAAAGTTGAAAGACAAAATAAAATGAATAAAACCATCTTTTCTCTGTACCGACTGCAGAAATTTCCAACTTACTTAGCTTAACAGCTTCATCTGTTAACATTTTAATAATTTTATGTTTTTATTACCATACTTTGTACCATAGGAACAGTAATGTCCTCTACAAAAAGCAATAAATCATAGTAGAAGCCTAAAAGCTGTTTCATGAAGAGCTAATGTAAACAGCAGAGTCATGTTACACATAAGCTCATACTCTGTTCATAAAATTTTATTTTACAGCACTTTTGTCAGGCTTAGCTGAGAAATTTCTCATTTTTATAATTTAGTTACTTTTGTTAAAAAATATACAACAATAGATAAAATATACACATAAAAACAAGAATTTGTGGTACAGACTACATAATCAAGCTCATTTGCACTTGAGTAAAAATTGAAAATGATCTTTCATAAGCCTTGTTTAACTTCACAAGTTTGTTTTTGAAAAAGAATCCATGTCGCTTTTAAATAAGTATTTTGAACACACCAAAAATATAAGTCATTAGAACAGAATGTTCCAAGGCTACTCTAATTTATCCAGTTTTCTGTGTATATTATAAGCAGGTTAGAACAATTCCTAGAGCATTCAAGCAACAAAATATGATTGATTACCACCAACCAAACAATCCTACTGACTAATGGTTAATGTTCAGATACTAAATGGCCTCCTGAGATTAATGTAGAGAAGTATATGTTCTTTCTATAGGTTATAAACTTATCTATCCACTATTGAAAATCAATTAGCAAATAATCTCAAAAGACAGAGAAGGAAGAGGGCTTTTCTGGTGGGTTTGACAAATTTATTGATATTTCAGCAAATTAAAAAGGTAGGAGGTTCAAATTTTAGATTATTGTTTGTAATTACATATAATTTGTTTCTAATTGGTTGAAACTGTGTAAGCCTATTATTGACATTACAGAATTCTGATGTTGAAAATTTGGAGCTCATACACATCATGTAACACAGGAAAGTGAAGACTGTGAATTAAATATTTCTTATAGAAACTAAGAAGTTAAAACTCTGATAATAAGCTATGTTTTCATGCTAAGTTTACTGACATACATTGACAATAAAGTTGTTTAATTAAATCTGAAATGTAACTCTGTAAAAGTTTATGACATTTGCAAAAGAGCCAGTCCCGGAAGCATACTAATCTCATGATACATGAACTACACAGTTAGCTTTAATTTATTTACAACAACAGTGATTATAAAGTTACTTCATGCTTCTTGTTACTTAAAGTTCCCAATTTGTAACAGATATTAGCAGAATTAAGTGTACATACACATGAAGTCAGAGAAAACAGATTCCATATATTGCAGATTTTATCACCTCTGACATTATTTTTCTCCATATCCAAGCAGTCAGATGCATCAGTCTTTCCAAAAAGATACCTACAAACAGAGCTTCTCTCTAAGTTTTTCTATACCAATAAATATAATGCAGTGCTTGTTTTACATGCTTTTTGTTGTAAAGGTGTTCATTAAGGCCCATGTAGATTAAAGGTCTTGTTTGAAAAGTCAGGAACTGTGACCAATGCCTTATGATAAAAATACCCATCTACATCGGTAGAAATTGTTGCAGAAATTCAACCAGTGTCATAAGATGTCAAAAAAAGGCATTCCCAAAGGAGGACGTAGCATCCAGTAAGATTCCATGTCTACTGGTCAAGTTCATCAAACTGCATCAGAGGTAATGCAAAAGATACTAAAGTTGGTACCATACATGACTGTAACCGCTTCCTACTGACCCAGAGAAGCAAACTCTGCCTCGAGGTTCTCTGCACATGTTCAAATGAGTAACTATTAACTTGACAATGTTTTGTGAATGACTCCCACTTCCATCTCCACAGCCAAGTGAAAACACACACAACTGCATTATCTAGGGTGAAACCAATCCATATGAATGAGTTATAAGATCCTTTTATGATCTATTAAGAGATGGGTATGGGTTGGGTTTAACAGCAATGTCATCATCGGGCCCTATGTTTTTGAGTTTGTTATGAATTTTGCACAAAGCTACATGAGGGCTATCTGCACTAGCCATCCCTAAGTTAGCAGTGAAAGACTAGAGGGAAGAAAGCTAGTCATCACCACCCACCGCCAACTCTTGGGCTACTCTTTTATCAATAAATAGTGGGATTGACCATCACATTATAATGCCCCCACAGCTGAAAGGGCAAGCATGTTTATTGGGACGGGGGATTCAAACCCACACACCTACTTAGCCCAATTTTAGCATTAAAGTAGCAATACACTGATGCTGAGATTTGTAACCTTGAGATTCATTCAATTCATAAACACATTTAAAAATCAGGCCTTTTAATTTCACCAATGTTTCTATCTATCCATCGTGGTAGGTATTTAGGTGTTAAAAGAATTAGTTTTTCCTCTTCCACCAATACACCAATGTTTGCAACTAGGTCTTCAATATAAATAAGCATGTCAATGACACAAAAACCATTCTTAGAAATTTTTGTAAAATTATATTAAAAGCGTATATAGTGTACATAACGCATTTAGAAGAGATAATAATATGAAAGTTACGTACACAAAAAATATTTTAGACATTCCAAAAATGTTTTTACACTTGAATTATGTATTGCAAATTTTAAATAGCAATTTATATAATGAAATGTCTTTCTCTTAACCACTTATAATAAAATAATATTAATTCAAAAACAAAAACTACCATGATCAGTACCTTCGTTTGTGGTAGTACAACTGGCTACATCTGAGACATCACCTACAGCTCCTCCTTCCAGAAGCTCATCATATGCAGGGGGAGGAATACCCTGTGGAGGTGTTGCCAATGTAGTATTAGAGGGTGGAGAAAAACCTTCCTCTTCCTCTTGTTGTCTTAGCTAAAGCAGTTTAATTTGCTACATTATACTTATGCATAAATACATAAAATCACCAATTAATTTGTACTAAGTTCATCAAACAATCAATAAGACTTATTATTATCATATTTAAAGAATAATTTGTGTCAATGGTTGTTTAACTGTATTATTATTATTCTGTAACTCCAATATTAATCATTTATGATGTTCAAAATATTTGTGTTTAATGATAACTAGGTAAGCAACTGCTTTATCTTAGTCCATTTTAACAAAAAAAGCTTAACTTAATATGTTATAATGTTCTTAATTCAATGTGCATGTGGTTAGTCCAACCCCATATTAGAGAAGTAATGTTAACATGTTAATTATAATTTACAAATTGTATCTTCACAAAATGTGGCAAGCTTTCAGTCAACAGTACAAGTCTGTTGTATACAAAATAAATCAGATGCATTACTATTAAAGTTTTTGTACAAAATATATGTTTGTGAAATGTCAAAGTCATTCTGACCCAGACTCTGATAAGTCGGAGTGCAAAGTGATGTTCAAGTGAAGAATAAAAATACCTTTATCCATCATAGAATTTACTAATTATATTTGCATAACCTCTACAACCTCCTAAATGCATATCTAAAGTTCTTTCAGTATTTTGGTATTTTCTCTACTCTAACATGAACTTTTGTGAAATCAGCAATGTAGGGTACATTGTAAAGTTGATAACCCTGACATCAAATTTATAATACGACGTTGAATGACACTCTGTACAAGGTCAGGGTATGCACACTTGGACCCCCACCTGTGCACATAGGGTTGATTCAATTACACCAGGTTATGTCTAGGCAGAAGGGTTATAAAACAATTTTAATTTACTTTATGTAACCTTAGTAGTCTGAGTGTATTTCAAGTAACCTGACATGCATTATTTAACCATGTTTTATAATATTTTACATTCTCCATCTTAACAAGAAATTCCAACAAAAAAGATTGCAAATCTAATGATTACTGAAATTCACAGTGTTTTCTAAATGATTCTTTAAAACAGACTTAAAAAACCAAAAGAATATAGCTTTTAATATATGATACTTCTTTTGGTATGAAAACATTTGATGTTGCAAAAGTCAATACAAATGTTCCCTACATAGTATGACAAAAAACAAGCATTAATATTTATAAACAACTTTTTGCAAGAGTTCAAAATTATAATAAAAGACTTAAATTTTTTTTTTGCACTTGACACAAACTAAAGATTTAACTACTAAAACTGAGGTGTTGTTTACTTTTTATTTTTATCAAAAAAAGTGAAATTTTGCGATTCATTATTTTACTTTGATAAATAAGCAAATCGTTTTAGAAAACTTTTATAGCATTCTAAATCAAAATATGAAAAGCAATATAATGGCAATAAAAACATCATTAGGAGTTTTTGAATAAATTCTGTTCAGCAATCTTTCCTTTGAGTATAACTTTTAAATACTCTGTGTGAACATTTAGCAAAATTTATACTAATGGTATAAGTGATCTTTATGAGGCTGCAAAATAAAGGTTTTTAGATCAATTTTCTCAAGATTGTTGATATAAGCCACCACTGTAAAATTGACTATATGAAATAAAACACAATGGTTGTGTAGGAAAGGCAGGAACTTGTCAAGCATGCTATTCCAAAATTCCAACAGACTGATGTGAGACTGTGAATCCAGAGGAGAACAGGAACTCAAAAGACTGTGTTCAACCAAGATAGCACCACAGCCCTTCAAAGAAGCATCTGTGAAGAGATGCAGATCTGTATGAGATGAAAGAATAGTAAACTCTCAATTGATTCAAAACTGAAGGAAATCGAGAACAGTAGGAGAGAAAGAAGAATTCTCTGACATAATGGGCCTGAAGACAAATGCCATTGAGAGGTAAGGTCTCATTGAAGGTGTTTTATGTCATTAAAACCAATGATAATCATTTCATTCATAGATTATATTCTCTCCAGAATGGAGAGGCCATCCTTAGAAAACAGAGTAGAAAGTAGAAGTAGGCTCACAAAGACTACAGAGATGTTAAAGCCAATGTAGATGGGCGAAGAGTTCCTTAAAATGTTTTCTCAGGAACCTAGATTCATAAAATCATCAGTTAGTAAAAGCTGAGGTTTGAGACTTGTGGATAATCTATCCCAGAGAAGAAGCTAACGAGGTAATAATTCTGGAAAATTGAATGTGTCAATGACAGAAGTGACAAAGAAGCTAGAATAAACCCACCATCCATGTAACAATCAAAATAGTGTATAGAAAATAGTAAAGACTTTTATGTAACAGCTTGAAGCCCTTCTAAAGAGGGAGGAGAGACCATGATTGATAAACCACTACCTGATGGTAAAAGCATAGAGACTGTAATAAAAAAATGAATCAAAATGTGTAGATAAGCATCACTGATATCTATCTCCACCATCCCAAGATCAAGACAAAGGAATTTTTGTAAAGCCTCAGGTTTTCGAACTTGTAACAAGAAATGTCCATGTAATGAATAACATGGGAAATATCTATTACCAATCTCCAATCTCCTGAATTTTTTTGCACTACAAAGAGTAAAAACCTGTAGAAGCATGACTCACTGTTCTGAAGGCCCTTTTCTGTAAATGGTCGAAAACTTACTAATCTAAAATTTTAATTCAAACTGTATCAGATGGAAGAGGAAATAAAAATGGAAAAGTGGACAAAACTGGATTAAAAGCCCAAATTTCAAGGATCCAATGAACCCAAGTGTCCAACAGATGAACAAAGGATCTTAAGTAGTCTTAAATACACAAATTCTGCAAAGGCACTGTATAAGCATTCATTGTAATTGTTAAGAGAATTTCTATTAAAGGTACTAACATAATAGGAGTTTGCTATACAATATAAAATAAAACATGGCCTGACTTACCATTTTATATGCAACAGATGATTGTCCTTTTTCCATTTAACAGAAGTTCAATTACATGCCATGCCTGTTATAATAATTAAATTTTTTATTTCACATGAAAACCTTATTAATTAAAAAATTTAGCATTTACTTTTCATTAAAACTCACTAATTCTTCAATTTTACTAAAATTTATTCCTAGGTATATAAGAGCAAAAATCATCGGTACCCAGTTTTCAAACAACAAATAATGCCGTCTCCATTGAAATGATTGAACTTTATACACTGTCCCATAATTCTACCAAAAAACTCACACTTGTATACTTCCTTGAACTCTCACTACATATGTTTCAATTATTAAATATGACTATTTACAGTATCATGATCTGTTTTTGATCAAATACATTAGCAAAAATATTGATTAACCTACAAATGGAACTGTTCATATATATTTTCAGTTATGAAATGTATTTTTTATTTGGGAAGATTTTCAAATATCAAGCTTTGCTGAGAGATATACACACAGACACATGCTAAAATACATTAGCAAAAATATTGATTAACCCCCATAGATATGTCTTTATATATTTTTTTGGATGACTTTCAAATATCAAACTATTTTCACACATACACATACACACACTGTAACCACTTACCTGATGACTATACAACTAAAATATCAGAGAGGTTACAATAAAGGGTTAGCTCTGAAGACTTAGATCCAAAACTTAAGAATGAAGATATTTAGAACTCAATATTTATTATACACCAAAATACATATATATAATCATTGGTGCTTATGACAAGCATTCAGTCTCTATATACAAATGTTCCCTAGTAGAAAGTTTTAATAAATAATATTAACACATTTTAATTTTATAACAAAATAACTAACAACATTCAAGTTAATACAAATAATGCATCTAATCTAAACCATTCACATACAAGAACTTAATTCTTATTACAAACAAGAGGGGAAGAGAGAATTCTGATTCACACACAAGCTGCAAATCAGAAAAGTCAATACAACCTACAGAAATAAGATATTTGGCATGCCTCAAGTCCATAACTGCATTATATTATAGCAGGTATTGTATTGCAAACATAGTAATCTGCTAAAAAACACATGCTAATTTTTTTTTATATTGAAATGTATGGATATATATATGCATAAACTGTCATTTTTTATCACTTAGACTGCCAAAATCTTACTAAGCAATGAAAAAATTAATGTTATAATAACAATGAAAATAATTAGCTGTGCAAAAATGAACTTGTAATGAGGTTTAGTTTATTTTATGCAATTTCAGCAAACTTTTTATGATGCATACAATGCTGCCAGCACACACAATTTACATTTTTACTGTTCATATTCTCTTTTGTTTTGTATTATTGTTCTATTATTTTACATTTATTTTCATCATTTCTTTCCTTTTTGTCACTTCTTACTCTTAACCTTATATTTTTAAATTAATGAACTAATACTTTAATGATGTAGTTCAAAGGTAATATCACTTATATTTTCATGCTTCAGGAGAATGGAAAAAAACATACCTTTTTTGTAAATAAATACAAAAAAATGGCATAAATTATTACCAAGCCTTCAGGATCAATTTGAGATTTCTAACATTAGCAAATCTCAGATTTCATGCTGTTGGGTTTTTATGTGTAAATGTATCATCTTGAAATTTATTGTGATAGAAATAGAATTATGTTAGAAGCAAGATGAATTAAATTTAAAAACAGGAGAATAATGAAAATTAACATTTTCCTTAACTGAAAATGTATTTACAATAGATACTCACCTCCTGCCACAGAAAATAATTTTTTCCCTTACATATCTGCCTCTGAGATTTGCAAGCCATCAGTCTTGAGCTAACTGCATTAGTGCATGATGATATCCCTCCACCAATAGGAGGGTGACACAACCTTCTTGTGTAGTGATTCACTCAAGAACTTGCATTCAAAATAACTTCATTCTTACATGAGGCAAGAAGAAAGTGTGCCAGAAGTAGGGAGGATGGGTGGGAAAAGTATGTGGAGGTATGTATCTGTCAGAAATACATATTCAAGTAAAATAAAGTTAACTTCTAAAACAATACATCCCCTTCCACACACAGAATAACAAAACCCACATTAAAATGGTGGAAGAGTGTAACACATGATGACAGGAGATCCATAGGAGCACACCTATTGGAGACTTGTCTTGATCAGGATATGCTTTTCATCCGGAAGGAAAGGCAAAAGAGCGTTAAGTGTTGTAGGGATAGAAGGAATTTTAACATGATCAACCGAGTACTCGCACACAAGTGGCACGCAAGCCCAGAAGTGTAGTGTGATTAGGAGTAATCAGACTGTACAGTGTCTCACCCCAACTGGACAGAAAGAGACAGGAGTGACAAACCCATCCTGCTGCAGGAGGAAGGCACACTAGCTATTTGAGGGGTGACCCACACTATACAGACATTGCCACCACTACCCTACACGATCAGTGAGGAACTCTCCAAGGCCCACCACACTAATGATTAGGAATTGGTAGGTGGCAAGGGTTTTCCATGCCCCACTTGAAGAAGAGTGGGAGAATTCTTGTTGTGAAGACCTGAAGAAGTACTTGAATTCCCATCAAATGCCTGCCAGAAAGGTCTTTTACTAGAGACAGTGCAATGGGTAACCCACGAAACCCTGTTTTTAAAAGCACGCAAGTGCAAGTCAAGAAGTGGACAGTCACTTTCCTGTGGCCAGCTTTTTCCATGACAGTCCATGGAAGGGTACAGTCTGGATTAGTCAATTGAATAATTTTTTATATCACGAGGATACCTCTATAGGTCTTTGGAACACCCCATGTCAACAGTGGACACTGGTAGAGCCAGGATAAACAGGTTGAGCACTTTCTGTTACCCTTGGCCCAATGCCAAAAAATCTGTTCTAGATAATGCTGAAGAAAAGAAATGAAGTTTTTTCAAATGAAGTGCTTAGGGGGAGTCACTGCACAAGGAAGTTGTGTCACCCTCCTATTGTAGGAGGGCTATCATCACATGATGATATCATCATGCATTTGTCCAGTTCATATTAAATGTAATTTTTAGATGAAAGTTATCTCAAGGCTAGTGGCATGCAAATCTCACAGGCAGATACAAGCTCTTCTATTTGTGGAGATGAGGTATCATCTTGGAAAAAAAAACAAAAAAAACTACAAGTTTGCAAAGCTCAAAACTACATGCAAAATGTTGAATAATGTTAAACAATCTAATAAAGAATTGGTGTTAAACTTTATTTATCTAAAGCTTTTATCTATTCAAGGATTCAATAAACCTCTGAAATCAAAATACCAAACACTGTTCCTGCCATTAAACTGTTCTAAAATGCTGTCAATAATATTTAAAAAGAAAGTTAAATAAAACAGACACACAAAAATATATTGTTACTGTCACATCAAAACCGTATATGTCCAAAAGCCCAATTTTACAGGAAAGGATGAAAAAGGTTTCATTTCAACACAATAAGACATATTATATTAGTTTTATTTGATTAGCCAAACCTGGCAATTAATGATGAAAAAAGTAACAGATATTACTTCCAAGGTTTTTGCCTTAAACACTTTGTGTGATTTAGAAAGATTTGATATTAACCACTGTGAACATGGTTTGAATGCTCGATTGCATGATGCATACAGTACTGAAATCACATTGTACAAGGCCTTGAACTGTTATAACATTATAAGACAAACCTGCTGGTTTGTCAGTTCTTTTGTATGATAGTAAAGTTAATTCAAATAAAATAATAAAAATAAATAACCAATGTTATAAATAAAATAAATATTGTTATTAATCCTTATCCTAGAAAATCTTTATTTATAAATGATGTAAATAATGATGTATTTTTACCATTAAATTATATTAATAAATGCAATGAAATAGATTTATAGAACATTTTTTAAAATAATACATTAGGTGAGTACAGGTGAGTATTATACACATACATACTTGTTAATTATATTACTGTAGAGTCTCCCGAAGTTAGGTAAAGGGGCTTAATTTGATATAATCCATTTCAGTGTTTTAGTTATCCTAAAATATTCAAGCATTCTTTTCTTATATTATGATGAGACAGACAATTACTCTACTGGTTCAAATATTGGAAGGGTAGGGCTATTAAGAGGTCAGGACAGAAGTTTACTTGTTAAGTGGATTTTTGTTGGTATGAAGAAGTTAATTTGTTAACTTGAAAGGAATTAAGTTGTGACTTTTCAAGCCATTCTCAAGACAAACATTTTTGTGGTAATAAATAACCATGTATGTCAATTTCTATAAAACCAAATAATACCAATCTACAAAAGCCTTCTAACAAACACAGCAAGAAATACCATAAACAAACACTTCAATAGACATACTTGTGAATGCTCTCAGACAACTAAGAAAATAGTAAATCACATTGATTGAGGTTGAAACATCAGAAAGTCCAGGTAAATTTCTTCCTAAAACACCACACAATTAAGTTGCCACCTAGTGAACATGTTTAAAAATATGTAAAAAAGATAAAGAACAAGATACAGATATTGATAAATTTCAGCTATCATTGTCATTCAAATGGTTGACAATTTTTATAAACAATTGTCAAGATGATAGTTGGTTAGTGAATTTCCTAGCCCACTGTCTATTGACTTACCAATGAGAAAGGGATTAATAATAATATTTACAAGAATCAGATAATTCCAATACTTCCCAAAGAATGATCAAGATCTGAAATATTGAAAAACACTAAAAAAAAGCATGTCTTTCTCATACTATACCATAAACAACTTGCTATCTGCATCAATTTAACACGCAAGTTATAAACCCATGTTCTTAGTTTTAATACTATCAGCCAACTCGTTCTCATAAACCCCTCTTGATTTCCTGAATTTCTTTAACCAAATCCCTAATGTTCCTATAGTTCTGTAAATCTTTCATCCTGTATGTTAATTTAAATTTCTTAAACTCTGGCATTTATTCATGATTCTTTCCTCCATGTCCATAGTTAGCCAATTAGGTTTGATCTTTTCCTAACAAAACAAAAGACCAATAAGGGACCACTTGATCTTTCAAGGCTCTCCATGCATGCCAACCGTTTAATTTTCAGTAAATAATCAATTCCATTTTAAAACTTGTCTCTACTACTGCTAACAGTAGTAATTAATTCCATGTAAGAAAAATAATCTTTTCCCCTCTTTTTAGTAATTCATCTTTCAAAATGTCCCAAATCTGTCTCACAACACTTTAACTCATTACTCCACATGATAAAGCATGTCTTATGGCCTCAAAATTGATTCTTAAACATTTGGAATTTAATTTTTTTACTCTCAATATGTATATAAACCTCAAACCTAATTATGTAATAAACACCCTTCCCTAAATATCCCCCCCTCAACTCTTGTTGCCATATCTTTATTAGTGATTAACACTAAATTTAATCTAGCATTGCATCCTCCTCTAGTTGGCTCCCTGATTGTTTTGTATCACTTCAAGAAGCTTCTCTTCCTTATTACTTGACACCATACAATCCCAATCAACATGTATAAAATTGATGTCTCCCGTGATTATTGCACCAGTATCCATATTAATAACAAACCTAATCTCTATTACAATTTTTCTTTGACATCAACTGTCTAATCAGGTGATCTACAATAACTGAAAACTTTCTACCCCTAGAATCCCCCAACTGTAATTTGTATGGATGCAATCTCTTTAATTGCAATTTTTGCATCTTCAGTTTCACAAGACTACAATTCTTCACTTACATAGAGAGCTGCTTCATAGCTATGTTAAAAAACCCTATCACTTCTATATAAGAAGAGGGAGATGAATAAAACATTTAAAGAAAAGGGGACAAAACTTAACTGTGTCAGGAATACTGGTCAGATTTAATTGTACAGAAAAAATTATAAGTAGGTCACCAGAGCTGAATGCTAGACTTGGTTAATAAGTAGACACAAGCAGATTAGCTGTTTGAGGTTTTGAGACCGGTTCAATGGTATGCTTCTTTTGGAATTAATGGTTTACATTTAGTAGGGTCTGGCTAGCTTGTAACGGCTACTAACCCAACTGTAAAAGCAGCTCTAAACTAGGATCACACAGTGGTGAAGGCCAGGATAAGCTAAATACATTTTTGTTTCTATATTACACTTTTCTCTACATCTTATTTTGTATGTATTTAGCTTATCCTGGCCTTCACCAATCTTATTTTGTTACAGCAGTAGTTTTAAGGGTAGGCTAAAATGTTACAACCATAATGCTAGAATATAAGAAATAAAACAGATGACTTTAGAACACTAGTTGAAAAGAAGATTTTGGGATAATGGAAATAATTGAAACTTGGTTAAATGTAGAAGATTTTGATGAGCAATTTCTTTGAAATATAGAGTTATAGGTTATTCAATATGGAAAGAATACTATAAAAAAAATGAGGGGGTAAAGTGACTTCATGTGTAAAATGTGAGATTGAATGTATTTAGGTTTCTGTTAACAGATATATGGAAGAAGACTTTTAGTTGAAATTTGTTAAAAACCACCAAGTGAAACTGACCAAATTAGTAGCTGTTAATCCTTTAATGTATTAAGAGTAAGTATATTCATAATCTAAGTGCAGGTTGATTTTAATGTTAAGATTAAATATATTTTTCATTTTAAAGTTATAAGATTTCATTTGCTAAGCCTTTAGAACTTCCAAAATTAATGCAAATTTTTTTCAGTACAACTTTATATTTTATCTGTTACTTTCTCTGCCCTAACACTATATGGGCTTGGTCCATTTGACTGACCTTGTAACCACCACAAAATGAAATAAATCTAAATTACCCCTTTTTCTTTCTAGAACAAAAGCAGGTTGTAACTAAAAATTACAATTATTTATCCTAAACAGACTCATGCTTGTAACAGTTTACATCTGTTTTATATAATTTTATTGCTCTTAAAATAATTTCTAACTATTAAGCATGCATAACAAAGCTATAAATGTCCAGTGAATGAATAGCTCAAGTTATGACAGAACAAAGTATTGAATTATGTAATATATGTGCTACTCAAACTCATACTTTGCTTATCTTATCTACCCTGATAAGTTTCTGATTTTTTACATTTCAGTTATCTTTATAACAATAAATAAATATATATAGGAAAAAATAAGCAGTTTAGTACTTACGTGTAGGTCTTGTATATTTTTGCAGTCAAAGTCTTGATAAAAGTTTATCCTAATTTTTGGTAAGATTATTGTTATTACTTAACACAAAATATAAAGATGCACAAATAATAGAATGTCCTATAACTATTACAATTTAACTGGCTTTCTATCCAAGGTTTAAGTGCATTAAAATATTTCCCTTACTTGATCAAGGTGAACTGAATGAAGGCAACTTTGAACATTTAGGCAGAATAATTCAAAAGCTGTTTAAGTAAATTAAGATCTCTTTCTTCTGGTTACAAATAATGTATTAGCAAATTTCAGAAAGAATTACTAACATTTTTTGAAAGACAGCATGTGGTTTGACTTTCTAATTTATATCTCTGTGAATCAAATTGACTGATTGCTACAAAATTAGCTTATGTTCCAGCAATATCTACATTATTAGTTTATAATTTTTATTAACACTTAGAAGCTGAAATATGGGTGAAAAGAATATCTAAGTTGGGCAATTTGGAGCAGACATGTGTCATGTGATAAAGAGAAGTGAAGATTGAGAATATATTTGAATCTATCCTTTTGCAGTTAAGAAATTAAACTTATGTAATATTAAAATTTGGTTTATTAACTACATTTTAATTTCCATTCTACTGATACATGTTTATAATAAAGTAGTGTAATCAAATTTTGACCTTACAGCTCTGATGGTGTTTAGAGGTGCTTGACACTGGAGATAAATTACTATGTTACTGTTTAGCTGCAGTCAAATGGTATGTTAAAATTAATAAAAAGAAAAGTAATATACTAAACATACTATGAGTTGCATCTACCACCATTAATTTGACTTCAACTAGCCTCTGTCAGTATCACTTAACAAAAGGAGCAAATGACAGGAAATAACAAATAAAATTACTCAGAAACAATGGAAAGTAAACACAATAAGATTCCAAAAAGTTCAATAATAATAATTACTTAGAAAAGGAAGTAACAACAATGGTAAATATGATAATTAAAGAAGTTAGTGAATATTAATGTAACTTAACTAATGACAATGTTATACTATATAAGAAACTGTTACATAGCTTGTATCAACTATATATAGTACGAGTTTAAACTTAACAGTAGGTAAAAACTGGTAGTTGCTGATATACTAGATTGGTTGAATATTACCTTAAGCAATTTCTAAGAAATTGAGATGTAGATACAAAAGTTTTGAAAAGATCTTGATATTATGCAAACTTTTATACCCATAATTGGTAAGAAATATGCAGACAAATTTCCTGAAAAATTGAATGAATTGGGTGTTCAAAATGTGGTAGCAGAAACCTAATTTGTGAAAAATGAGAGTGAATTTACGAGCTCTGCCCAAGAAGTATTGTAGTGTAGAACAAATTCGATTATACCTAATAAGCTGTTAGGAAAAATTGTAACAAATTATTTGGAACATTGATATTTGATAATTGGAAGTTTATAACATGAAAGTTAAAAGTGTCCAATTTATTGAAAACTTTGAACCTTTATTAATAATGCTGATATCTAAATTTGGTCAGTATGTTTTGTTTTTAATGGAGGTTGTTTTTCTCCAAAGTTGACATTGGAACAGTGATTCTAATGTAAAGTTTACTGAAGAATATTACTATTACAAAAAATTATCTAAAGTAAAAATTACAAGTAATAGAATTGAGATATAAACAACAGAAATAATCAACATACAATATACTTAACTTACTACACTAAATGTATGGCTCTCACATCACAGGTGAGCAACTTTTATCACAACCTGTAATAATAGTGTGGAGACTTATGCCTATATATTACCATCAACTGTATCACTTTTTGTCAATTCACCAAGGAACTGAAACATCTTTGCTATATTTATGAAATATATAAAGATTTGGAAATGAATGTGTTAAGTGGTCTACCATGTCTTCACACCACAAAATAACCTCTGATTGAAATAATTTTATTGAGAAATCAAAACTCCAAAGCTAGACATTGCCATGAAGTTTAACTTTTACTTAGGTCAGTTAGGAGCAGATTAGATGAGTATTTTAGATATCAAAGTTGAATATTTTAATAAAAGGAGGTTTATATTTTTAATTGTAGTGGGGTGGTACTGGTAGTAGAAAATAATCTAATATTAGTACTAGTAGTAAACTGGCTAAATGGGCCATTGTTATCTCTTGGAATCAGTCAAGTGGTTACTCTACATACAACTTCTAGAGTATTACTTATTTACTGTTAGCACTGTAGTGTATAATATTAAGATTTGATACACTCAACTCAATCCAATCAAAACATCGCTGTCATTTTACTTTTAGCTAAGACTTAAAAAAAAAAAAAAAAAAGTTTAAAATTTAAGTAATTTTTCATAACTATAATAATTTCTCAGTACTTAGTAAGCGCTAGATTACACAGTGATACAGAAAACTCAACATTTCAGGTTTAAATTAAAACTGTCCTAGTTAAACTACTCAGCTGAAATTTGAATTTGAACTAAATCGACTGTTGATTCGATCGAAAAACCTAATTTCCAATTCCATAGCGTTGTGTAGTAACTAACGTTAGATGTTACTTCAGTTAAAATCGCATAGTACAATTGTAACAATAAAAACAAACTCTGAAAATAATTGAAACACATACCCTAACTTTACCTTATTACTCTTAAGTGTAATTTATACTTAAGTTTAAATTATAAATAAAATAAATCATTCGTTATAATATAAATGACATATTGCTACGTCACAAAACATAAATCAAAGTGATTTTTACTGAATTACATTTTGTTTCTAAATTGATTTTTAGAGACCTAATTTTTGCGTTCAGTTGCTCAGAAAAACATTTCCAGAATACCAATGTAAGTCTATTGCATATTATTTTGTGAAAAACAAATATATTTGAATAATCTTACCACAAACACCACATCAAAATGGATTCTAATTTATATTAAGCCCTCTGGTGGTGACATATAATTTATCAGAGATTCTACATATCATTCTTCCTGATCGATAAAAAAAAAGAAGAGAGAGAGAAACAGAGTAAAGAAATAAATAAAGAAAAGATGTTGTTGTTTTTGTTACCGCAAAGCTACACAGTGGGCGTTGTAAGTCCATAAATTAATAATGTTAATATAACTGGTTAATCTTAAAACTTTTTAAAGTAAACTGTAATTATTTGTTTATGAATAAACGATGTGGTTAATACCCTAGACTTAGAGTATTATAGAATATCAAAAAAGTTTGTCAAGCAGGACATTAGGCAATCGAAAAATGCTGAATAAAAATTTAAAACTAACGATATATTTAGTATAGTATGCGTTTTCTATCTTCTTGTTTTAATCTACTATTATTCGAAATTTATGAGTTATTCTGATATGTGTAGTTTTCACTTAAGACGTGTGACCATGAAGGTTCTTAAGTTTTGTCGTTCTAGCAGTCTTTTTTTTTTTGTCATTCTCTTGACATCCAGAAATATCACGCCTTTTATACCTTCTTATTCTAATGTAATTTTTTAAAAAAATCGTTTGTTCTAGATATATGCAGTTTTCAGTTTTCACATAACATACGAGCAAAAATCTTTAAATTCATTTGAAGATAACACCGGGGTGCCCATGTAAAATATAGCTATGAAGCTACATCTTGTAAACAAAGGTTGAAAGCAGTGTCCTCTAATGGTAGGACGGGTGATATATCGAGGTTACAACTTTTGTGGGTAGGGATAGATGCCGCGGGCAAACCTGATGTTACATATTCAGCTAAGAAATGTGAGATTTACACAGTATGAAACACCATTTTGAGTGAATCGATCAATTTGGAAATAAGACTTGATAGAGTAGAGCCATCCTAATCAATTCACAACAACAGTAAAGGCAAATTTGCACTGTCCAATGCAAATACACATACTATGTATGTGATATTAATATAGACTATTTTTATTATGTATCACACTTTCTTTTCAGCTCATTTATTTTGTGTCATATATTCAGTTAGTTTTAGCAGAATTCAGTATTACCTCTCAATTTTTGGAAGTAAAAGTACTCAAGTCCGAAAGTAAGAATTAGTTGCTGAACAGAGATGGTTGTCAAATCTAGAAGAAGTCCTCTCCTGAATATTGGACTTTTATGATGCAGCCACATACTAAGGAAGATCGCCCATTGTCTGATGCATTTAGAATGGTAGATCGAGTGTTGGTCCTGATAATCTATCTCTGTGCAAAGGAAGCATGATCAACTGAGGACCACTGAGGTGGTATGGTACTTGGTAAGTCTGAGGCTCTATAGGGAAGTCTGCAGAGGACTTCCAGACCATCACTAGCTACAGTAAAATAACCCACAGCTGTGATTCAGGCCACTCGAGACCACCCAAGAAGAACTGAAAGTGCCATTTGTGGATGTAGTCCATCAGTCAGAGCTGCATACATAGCAGATGAGATAGTGGGCACCAATTAGCATTTGAAAGTCTCTCAGAGCAAGAAAATATCCTGGTAAGGCATTTGTGGATTGTGAAAATATCTGGAGTCATGCAGATCTGATAAATGAGCTGCAGGGGCAACTTAATGCTCTGCCACCCTAGACCAGGGATTAATTACTTCTTCAAGGGTCAGAGTCCCTCAGTACACCTACTGCACCATATCCGCCATGTCGGCGACTTTCAGCCAAATGTTGACCAAGAATCTGTAAGGGAGAGGCTTTGACCAAAACCACTGGCTTCCCATATTCAAAGATTTGACAAAACAAGACCTAGACCACTTTCTGAAATGTATTAGATAAGTAATTGCTTGGAAAGGCTGTTCTCAGGAACAGGTAATCCAATACATGATTCGGAGCTAGCCCTGTACTAACCCTGGGTTCCATCAAGCACCTAAGAAATTCTTTGGACTGAGTTCATAGCTCAGAGAAGAAGTACCACTGAAAGTGAGGCAACTTAAGTGTGTGATCTGCATTGTGTGCATGGTAAAACATAACCTGTAATGGTTTTTGTAGATTGGAAGATATCCTTGTGGATATGTTTGAGACAAAATGTTTAGGCATCACTAGGGTGTTAGAGATATCTTCACCTTACTGAGACAGTTGTTGTAGCATCAAGATATAAGGTAATAACTTTGAACTGGATGCAGGAGGGGAAGAAGCCTGGGTATATACTTGCTACTGTTGCCTGTTTCACAAAGTTGATCAAAGCTTAGCTTATACATTGGCACAGCCTATAGCTGATGTTTTGATGGAGCACAGAAAGAAATACACATGGATCAGGAAGCTATTTTCAACAGTCAGTTATTCTCCCTATTGTGTAATGTGTTAGGTATGATAAAAACGAGTATTTTATGCAGAACAACTGAACATAGGCTAAAGTCTGTTTGTTAAACATGCCCATGTTTGGCTGAGAAATTATATTTACTGTATGACAAGATGGTAAAGACAAGTAGTAAGCTTGAGCCTGGATATGGTATGTATCAACAGCACAGAAGCAGTTTAGATCTGGTTTGACAGGTTCATACATTATACTTTAGTAGGTTGATCTATTGACATACAAGTTACAGTGTACCTGTGGCACACAAAAGCACATGGAGTACATCATTGAGCTGTGTCCGTGCATTATAAAAGAACCTTTTGTGCATTTTCTTGATCAGAAGTCTGAAGTTGAGACTAATTAGTTGGAGGATGTCTCAAATCATGCTGATTTACCCAAGGAGGAGGAAAGAGCTGAAAGTACTTACTGTACAAGTTAAATACTTGACTTAAAGGCAAATAAAGCTATGACATTCAACTGAGCCATTGATGTTGGGTCTCCCAAATGATATGAGTGGCAATAAATGTTTATCAAGAGCTAAGGCTGTCACTGTTTGCAAGATCACAGATTGAAAGGCAGTAGTGATCCTTGTTTTCCAAATTATCAAGTGATGTTCACAGTATACATTGTACACAGTTAGAATGGTTTGTTAACCATAATATTAACACGACCAAACGGGTTTAGCATCATTCTTTCCAAACTATATAATAGAGTTTCACTAAGGAAGATATCTGATGATAGTTGCTTGAATTACTTCATAAGGTAGGATGGTCATGTGGTTGTAGAATTTTTTAACTGAGCCACAGAATGAAATTTTCTGATGTAAAATATCGTCTTACATTTCGATCAAATCACTCCCTTGATCTAGCTGAGTGGTAAGAACTCAAAGGAACATATCACCTGGTACTAGCTATATATACGGAAAGCATGTCAATTTTACATGGAGTGAAGGAGTTTTGTTTCATCTGATTCTACGTTGGCATACAGTAGTAAAAATGAGTATTAATCCTGGCAGACGAGTATTTTAGTTGAAAGGTCATACTTCCATTGATTTTTGCTGGTTATCATTTATATGTTGATGTCCAAAAGAAAAACGAAATTAGTGTGACGGTTCCCAGGTGGCAATACATTGTGGGACTATAATTACCAAGATATAGCTTCATAAAGTGCCTGAGAATGTAACCAAAGTAATTTACAAGGAGCTAAGGGTAGTCCGTTGTTAGTTACTAGAGTATATGACAATGTGTAATGGTGATATATGTGTATAGCAATAAATATATATTTGAGGTCTTGCACATGTGCGTGTAAAGTCGTTCAAGAGTGTTGTATACCTCGAATGAAACATTTACACAAATAATGCAAAAATTTGGGATCTTCTTTCCATTAAACGTTTTGCACTAGCTTTTGATGTGATTTACATAAGCTTTCACCGCGTGGTGTTATTTTCTCCCACCCTCATCAACAATACACTTACTATCTGCAATTATACATTATTGCACTTTTTACTGAAGCAATGTTCAGAAAATACTCATTAACCTGTGTCCTTATTGAAAAATTTTCAATCTGCCTGACTTTTTCAAGTAACTTCACACACCTCACAACCAAATAAGACTGGGTAAATCAGTTTACATTTGATATGATATCTAAGATACTGTTACATCTCCGTTTGTTAATTAACTTTCCGTAACTTCGTTTCCGACGAAACTTTAACGACACAAGTCTTTACTTAATAAAACTGGTTTATTCTTTCCGAATATAACTTTACCGATACACTCAACTTCAACAATCGCGCTAAAACAAACACTATAACGAACGAACGTTAGCTTCAACAATACCCTGTGACTGCAGTTCAATTACTCACTATCTAACATTACATTCCCCTCTTTTATATACCAGCCTACCCTATCTAGCAAATACTAGAGCATTCGCCAAAGTACATGATAGTTCTAGAAACGTTGCGTCACAGTAGTCATGTGACTCGCTGACGCAACAATACTATATGTGAATTTTATTTATGATTGATAATTTCACCCACTCATGAATATTTCAGTTTGATCAAATCAAAATTTCTTATAAATATTCTTTGTGAAAAATACTATTTAAAATTGTTTCCTCTCAGACATAGCACAAATTTCTTTGTTACTATTATCTCCTCCATAAAAATACACTACCTACCAAATATTTCAGTGTCAAAGTAGAAACATCCTCTCACTAGCATTAATGAAAGTAACAGGTGCACTATATTTTAAATTATACCTCCCAGGTCAATTACAGTTAACTTCATAACACAAAGTATTAAAATCATAGATCAAATATTTTGTTTCCATGCACATGTTGCTTACTGAATTTTATTCTACCTCTCCTTGTTAATGCCCGCTTTGCTCACAGAAGTATTGCTGTAATGCAAGAATGTAGATGATAACAGTATAATTTGCTTGTAGGACATATGATACCAAAAAGTTATGGCCTCTCCTACAATGAATGAGAATGACTAGTCACGTGGGTAAATCTTACATTTCCTGTTAAGTAAGAAACCTGAGAGTTAAACAGCAAGACATCTTGAGGGAGGAAAATCTGTTATAATTTCACTAGTCCAAGAGAAGGTTACTGTCCAAATGCAAGTGTGCACACTGTATTTTGTACTTTTGATTTAAATAAAGATTATGTTAATTTTGTATCATATGTCATGCTCAGTGTTTTTTATTTCTTACCTTAAAACGTTTTAGAAATTCAGCACCATTTCATAATTTATCCTGCCAATTCTTTCGTTATAAAGTGGACCTACATAATACTGTTTGAGGAAATCAGATGAAGATGAAAATACCACATATATGTTATTCATTTAACTATCAACCCCATACCTTGACAACTGAGAATTAGAATTTCATCAGCCTACTTTTTTCATCACAGTTTTATTTTTTCAATTATCTTAATATTTTCACTTTGTACTGAAGTATTTGTAGACAAATTTAGTCATATTTCAAAAAAAAGTTTCTTATAACTCCAGAAGTAATGACAATGAAGACTGATTCACAATCAATCTTGGTCTTACATGTTATGTGGTATTTTCATGCGCACTGATTTCCCTTAAGAGTAATTGGTTAGGATCACCAGAATAACTAACAGTCCAATTAGAAAAGGTATCATGGAGAAAAATCTCAATTATTTGACTTTGACTGAGTTAAGAAAAGAAATGGACTGGACACAAGGTAAAACAACGTTAAACAATCTTTAACAAATGCCAAATACAAACAAAGTTTTAATACATGGATGACAATGCCTTTACTGGAATAAAGAACAATACAATGTGAAGAAGAATTCCATGAAGAATTGTAATGTGTGAAGAAGAACCCCTAGTGGTTATATTCCAGTTATACTTACCTGACTTTAAGGTAAACTATGATTTGTAACACACATTGGTTGTTCACTCAGTTTCTTAAGAAGCACTTTCAATATGTTAGTCTTAGGCCAATAGCTCAAAAGGTTACCATTTTCTTCTTTACCTCAAATTACTTGTTATTAGAAGAAACTGTATATTAGAGATCACATTATTTGATCCATTTTGACAAAAAAGCACAAGAAAGGGTGCACAAAATAATATAGCTTCTTATGAGGTTTTATCAAGTCTTGTTAATGGTAGAAAGAAATATATGAAGCTTCTTCGCATTGGTTTTTTTTGGGGGTGGGTGGGTGGAGGATTCTTTTCATAAATATAGTCTTAATTTTCTGGATGAAGGCATTGGTCATGCTCAACTTGAGATGTGGTTTCAGAGCCCTCTGTCGTCTTAACTGTTCTGCTGTGTTTCCTGTTTACGTGAAAAATAATGAAGAAACCCTTCTTCAAAATGTTGCATCCTTTGGCTCAACAAAACCTCACGGTGTGAACATTTCTCTGTAGAAAGAGCAGTCATATGCTTTTCCAATCACTGACCAAGTTTTCGAATTATCTTACAATATTGGTCATCACCATGTGCTTTTATGTGCATAAGAAATGCTTATCACATGATCATAGTTTTAGAATCACTCTGATTTTTACATTCATTTCCATAGAATGCAAATGATTTTTTGTAAAGCGTTATAGTCTAAGTATACAAAATGATTAAAACAGACATATGATATAGTAAAAAAGGGAGTTAACTATTTTCCTAAACAATTTCTACCACAATGATGAAATTAGTTTGGATGAAATTTTGGCAACGCTTTTGGCCATATAATAACTTTCTTGCTTTGAATAGACCACTGATAGAATGCTTAAGTTTTATCGATAATGTCAATGATCAAAATGTTTAGACGAAATGATGCTTTGTACATGAGAATGTCAATGTTATTGTGCAGACTGTCTTTTTTGTAACAAAATTTTAAAATTATGTAGTTTGTTAATTGTTCTAATTAGGAATACATTCTATATTTTCCCTGCAGATTCCATCGTTTGATGTGGTGTTTGAATAATATGAATACTGATAATGGTAGCCTGATGGAGATCATTGTAAGAACTAAACTTAGAGTTAATTTGTAATACAAAGTTGGTCATAATTTGGTCTGTTTAAGTAATGATTGAATAAGCAATTACAGATTCAAGGCCCGAATTGTAACTACTTAATGAGTGAAACTCCATAAATATAATGAAATAAGTGCACACTATACTGGTTTTCTCAAATATATATAAATTTACAGTGAATTTAATTACCTCAGTGATCAGTCACTAATTAGATCAAAATTAAGATTCATCAATAACATTGCATAAAAAAAACATTATGAGTAAACTAAATATCAACTTTACTGATGGTTAATCGATATTTGACACAGGGAGAAGCAGCATGACTGTAGCTGTACACATGTGATTCCGCTGAATTTAACACAACAAGATAAGCTGCAAAATATGCGAGTCATAAAAACCTATGATTAGTCAGATATACTGTGGCTATGTAGTTTGACAACACCCCTTTTTATTGTGTAGCTAAAAAAAACGTTTTGTTTAAAAAGTGAAGCAATATAAAATGTACAGCAAAATGCGTATTTATTTTTCTGAGGTATTAAAACAAGCTTTTTGAACTTAAAAGATAGATAACACAAATAACATTTTTTTTACATAATATAAAAATACTTCTTTCAAATGTGTATTGTTACATAATGAATATAAATACCAAAAATATAAAAATAATAACCAGGTATTTTAAGACATAGATTCTTACTAAAGTAAAAGAACCAAATTCATAAGATTTGTAACAAAAAATATTAAAACTCAATGATTATCAGAGCATATTCAAACAAATACTTAAAATCAAATATGTATAAAAATCTAAATACTTAATAAATGAAAATCAGAATGAACTATTATAGTTTTTTATTCCTTTTCTACTTTGACTTTCTTATGAAAAGGCAATAAAATATAAAAGCAGATTGCATTAAAACACACAGAATGTGCAGTTTTTAATAACAAATCAATAATATAGTTAACTGATTTACATAATGATATTCTCACTTTTTATTTCAGATCCATTCAGAAAATCTCAATCTTGCTAATAAAGTTGCTATGGAATTAAACAAAATTCAAGAATTCTGGCATAAAATGATGAAATGGAAAACAAACAAACAAACTGATCATAGAGAATGCTATAACTTTCTATTTAAACTTAAAAAAATCGATTCTGTAAATTAATTGATTTATTTAATTTTTTAAATACCACCAGGACACACATTTTAACAGAATTAACTACAACAAATTACACATTTGAACTAACAGAATGTACCTTGTAAAAGTATATTTAAATCTTGAATATCCAAAATAATTTAATGAAAATATTATTTTTATATTCATATCTATAATGCATTAATCTAAAAAAAAAGCCCAAAACACTAAATCTACTAAGCCTCTGAAATCTAAATCAATTAAAAGTGCAATAAAAATAATGTTTGTATGGAAAATATATTAAAAGAATTAGACTCAAATCAAAACAAGGAAGTGAAAATTAAAAAGTAAACATGAAACCTTTAGTGATTTCTAAACAACTGGAAAACAAATGCATAATTTATGGACATAGATTCTAAAGAGCATTGTGTTACATACTACTGTGTCCACATTCTACAATTTGACTTACAGAAGAAAGAACATAGAACAAATCAACTTAGAATTTGTTCTTCAGTGATCTGTGCATAAATTAGGTTAAATAAAATTGGATCCCAACAAGACAATATAACTTCATAAGCCACAATAAAAAAAATTATACATTTTGAAAGAATTTGGTACTTTATGAAATGTTGACTTAGTTTTCTATTTAAATTAATAATTTAATACTGCAAAAAATGTAATAGAACACAATATATTAAAGGAACTCATACAGCTGTTTCCAGCTTTGACCATTGAAAAGCTGGCAGTGTACATGTTACATTAACAAACAGGATTGGTTCTTTATAGTTAGCACTTCATTGTACCATATAGTTTTGAATCAATATTGCATTCCAAAAACTGTTTACAACACAAGCAAGAGTTTTTCCATACTAGGTACATTAATGTTTGTTTAATGTAATGTTCCAATCAGTACAGGATTACTACTTTTATACATGGAATTTGTACACAAACTTTAATGCTCCTACTTATGTGTTATTAAAATGAATCAAATAAAAAATGCTTTGTATCAATAAATGCTCACAAAATTAAATGGAAAGTGGCATACATAAGACCACATATAAATGCTTACAATATAATCACTTTGGTCAGAACTATTAACAAAATCAAAGATGATCAAAGATATTTTTTATATATATCACCTACACGCTTAACACCTGTTAACTTCTAATTCTATCCACCCTATTTATTATAGAAATACAATATATTTGGATGAATATTAACCAACTTGACACCACATATTAACAAATACCATTGAAAAATAGGGTAGGCTGTAGACTAAGAAAATGTACTATAATTAGACTTGAAAGCCTAGACTAATTCTTGGACCACAGCTCACCAAGTATTGTATCTATAAATGATACCATAACTTTAAACTTCACTAAAATGCACTCATCAAACTCACAAACATTAAACTCTTCTATAAACAACATTTAGTTTGCAACAGAGACACTATCCGGGTATCTTTGGTATATTCTTTTTTCTTTGTCACACAATAAACAATACCACACTTTTAAACACATAATGTCATATAAAAGATGATGAAACTCATCATCAAAACACAAAGTTATAATGCACAAAAATAATATATACTCAAAAAGTAACAAAGATATTGATACAGTTTTAACAGAATCTTACAAGTCTTCAAGAGATTATCTGCACATCATGAGTTTGAAGTAAGAAAAAGTAACAAAGATATTGATACAGTTTTAACAGAATCTTACAAGTCTTCAAGAGATTATCTGCACATCATGAGTTTGAAGTAAGAAAAAGGATTTCATGAGATTATTCATTTCAAAAAATTTGTTCGTCGCTGTTTGTGAACAAGGTATTATGGTTACATAAAGAGCCAATTAAACATATAGGATGAATACTCTACAAATATAATTTCCTTTTTAAGTTTCTGAACATTGTACCACGTGGTCAACTGCTCATTTATTTTACATGTATAGAAACATTTCTTTTACATATATATAGCAAATATGATTATAAAAATGTTTATCACACTAACTAATCAAAATTAAGAGAATACTAACCTCACACATAATAATAAGCAGAGTAAGAAACATACTAGACCTCCCATTACAGTTTTTAGTTCAAATGTACAGGAAGATCAAGTCATCAAATATCCTTAAGACAACATCATCTTGTACAAAATTGACATACAATGAAAAACAATAATACTGTTTAAATTTAGTGCATTACTACACATGAATATTTCATCTTAAGCCATATTTATGGCAAAAGAATATATCAATTGGTTTTATATAATTTTATTTTTATTAACCTTTCCTTGTATATGTGTTCAACACTTCTGAAGAGCTTAAACTTATGGATTTTACCATAAATAATTTCTGTAAGTGGTTACATTACAGTTACACTTACCTGACACTAGGGTAAACTATGATTTGTAAAACACATTAACTGTTCACTCAGTTTCTCAAGAAGTAAGTTCACTATGTTAGTCTTTGGCCAATAGCTCAAAAGGTTACCATTTTCTTCTTTACCTCAAATTACTTGTGATTATAAGAAATTATACATTAGAGCTCACATTATCTTATCCATTTTGACAAAAACCACAAGAAAGAATGCATATTTTTATAGTTGTTGCTTTCAGTAGAATAGTTTATATATATTAAATACTGACTGTGTCTTGTCTTATACAAAACATGCGAACACATTAAAATCACACTTTCAGAAACTGTAGAGCAAAAAGTACATTTATGTTATACATTTATGCCGATATATTTAAAATAACTAATTTATTGTTAAAGAATTATCAAAAGTAGAAAAAATATACGTAGCAGTATAAAATGATGGCTGAAAGTTCAAAAAGACAGTTTTAATTTAGTTTTTCAACTTATTATACATACTCAGATCATTGGCAAATAGTTCTTTGGTCTGAAAACTGAACAAGAATTTCTGGTGTACTATTTTCAATGCAAACCAAATCAAAGGATTTAATATAATTGTACTTTTGCTTATTTATTAACAGTATGCTAATAATCAAACACATATTTGAACTGATTAATTCAACTATTATTTACTAAATTGTGCATATTCTTACATTACAAACTTAATAATTTACATTAATTTTTTTTTATCTTTCACTGTTCCTATACACTACTGAATTAAGGACTCTAACAATAATTATTATTATTAACACCTTATCATGTAAATCATGTGTTAAAAATAAATAAAACTATTGTACATTAAATAATTTACAATATTTCATTCAAACGTGAATTTAACTCAATGTAACAACCACTATAATACTAATTTTCAAATGGCACAGAGAGAAAAAAAAAACAAAACAAATGGCACAACAGTCAAAAAAGGGGTAGGAGAAGGTTAAAGTATCCCAATAAAAATCAGAACATCCTATTATAAAAGCTACACGCCTTTTAAACATTAACTGATTTAATACAATCATGGTTAACAGCAAAATGCACCTCAAGTTGTAACTTTTTTAATATTATTTATATATGAATAAAGACATTAAAAACTTCAATAATAAATCTAAAGATATTTTTACACATTAGGAAACATAAGAAAAAAATACTAAAGCATTATGTAGATAATCTTCTAAAACTGACATAGAAGTACTTAGAATCCATAAAACAAAATATCTTGGAAATATTTATTGAATTAAACTGATTGTTATTAAAATTACATAAAAAATCATTAAATAGCCAATTTTTATTTTAAACATGTATATAATAAAAATTGTCTTTTAATACACAAGTTTTCACATTTGTTAAGTGATAAATATTTTTTTCCTCCAAACAATTTTCTCTACTATAATTATATTTAGTAAACATGACACGCATACACATGCACACCCATTTACATATGTATATAAATCAATGGAGAATTCTTTTATAATGCATAGAGGGCATGTCGTAACAACTGGAGAGTTCACATATATAGTTAAACTCATTGCACCTCCAAGTTTAAAGAAATTGAAAGCTTCTAAATTACAACTGTTTGTCTAACTATATTATGATTTAGTGAAAATGGTCTAACAACTAAATTTCAAGTGTACATGACAACACTCTTTACTAGCTAATTTACTATTATGGGGTATGCATTTATTTATATATATAAAACTGTACTGTATTGGAAAATACTATGAGAACATTTTGTTTGTTTGTTGTTAAGTGCAAAACTACACAATAGGCTATCTGTGCTATGCCTACTGCCATGAGTATCGAAACCCGGTTTTTAGCGTTGATAAACCTTCAAACCTACTGCTGAACCAATGAAGAGTACGAGAACACAAAAGAAATAGTTATTTGTATCAATGCAATCTTGAATCTTACATCTTTATACTGCATATAGATCATTTTAAAACAAATATGTTGACATTTATTCTAAAAAACTACTATTCAGTGTTCCATCTAAGCTGCGTGGCTGCACAACAACCAATCAAGTGCTGCACACTTCATTATTTCAGCCGAGCACATTGTCAGTAATGGTGAGGAGACTCAACACATTGAAGGCTTTAATGACCCTGGCAGTTGATAGACCTCAAGCCCAAATAACCTACTGGTAGCATTGCTAAGTGGCCTAATGATCCATTGGAGTCGATGGTCTAAAAATCTAGCATACAGTGGGCAATAGAGCTTTATATATAATTTGTGAGGAAATATTTGAATATAGGATTAACTTATTGCAGTATGCCATTTTAAAGCAACTGTTTTAAAGGCCAAAAATATTATGCCTATCTGATGAAACAATGCAATTTGATCATCATGAGTACTACAGTTTGAACATTATATTTAATTAGCTATGTGTATGTATTTAGTTATAATCTTGATCAACGTAGGTAGCTTACTTTGATCAGAAGTTAATACCAATAAGAGTAGTTATTACATGAAAAGTTAGGAGTAAGTCTTTCTAATTTAAATACAGCTATTAGAAATACATTGTCTACCATAAAAACAAACACTCATTTGGATACAGAACTGCTATGTCGTATATTTTCTCTGCTCACTGCTTTACACCGTAACCCTACACCTGAGGAGCTGGTGATTCGGGAGGAAGAAGGTGAGTGATGGAGTGAGCTAACTGATCTTCCATTTTCAAAAGAGTGGGCTACATATCTCTCAGTTGAACGTGACATTCTGGAAGAGAGAGGTTTCTTTCTCTGAAGCTCAGTATGTGGAGTATGAGGGACAACTGATTTACTCCGAGCTGTTGCTCCTATTGCAGAAGATGAAGAACTTCTACGATTTGATAGTTCACTACTTGCTTTGACTGGAGCCCTTCTTTGAGGCCTGGTTGGATGTCTCTGAGATGATGCAGGTGCATCAACATTTATAATAGGTCTTTCACTACGTTTTCTTGACTCGTCACGACCTAATGAATTCTGCTGGTTTTGCAGCTTTCGTTGCAGCTCTTGCTCCAGCAACTCTGCCTCTTGGAGGCAGTGGCTGACTAAAGAAGATTCCACATCAATTTCTGACATAAGATCTTTGTTTATCTCACCACTTCCAAATTCTTCTGAAGATACTGGGGAAAAACTTTTGGTAAGTACTTCCGCAGACCTTGCTTCTGAAAGAAAAGTTTTGTCACAACTATCTGAACTCTGAGGTATGATGTCTGACTTTACTGTAAAAGGAGACACTTTAGCAACCTGACTGTTTTTTCCTCCAGGTAAAGAAGAAATACCTTCCATTTTTGTGGGAAATTGAGAGAGAGAAGTGCTTCTAACTTTTGCCTGCTGATCACTTGGAATCTTCTGTTTGTCATCTTTTACTTGATGAGATGCTATAAAGGAAGAATCCCTTACAGGAGAAGTAACATTACTCTTGGACTTTGGATGAACCTCAGGATTAACTGAAAACAAAAAGGGATACACTAAAAATTGCTTGAAAATAACTTATCTAAATCAATAACTGTTAAGCTTGCACAACCTGGACAAAATAAGCTGTTAGATAGATGTTAGTGAACTAACCTTTTAATGACTCATTTCTTTGTCTCGATTTTCTACTTTTATCAGACATAGTTGGGTCAGAATGTTTATCAGTACTAAGATCACAATCTTCCAATGAAATCAAAGAAGTGGTCGTAGAAACGTCTGGTGAAGTTCCAGAATCTTCATCTTTGTTTTTCTTTAGGAGCTTGGTCACCTCATGGCTAATACCAGAGGGAGCTGTTGACCACTTACATGTGGAGCTGCCTGGGATTGTTTTGATAGAGAATTTGTGACTGTAGTTTTGGTTTATTTTATCAGGAGAAGATTTTCTAACAGAGGCTAGTGTAATATCCTGACCCCGAAACTGTTTTTTCCCCTGTTTTGCCTCACTATTCAACTTGCTGTTTCTGTTCTTAACAGGAAACGTAGCACATTTATTTTCTGAATCCAAACTATAATCCTCTTGAGTCTTCTTAACTTTCTGTCCATAAAGAAACAAATGTGACTTAATATCAAATTTTATATAAGTTTAAGAATTACAATAAATAATCATAATTGTAAGATTTTTAAATCAAAGCCCCAATATACACAGTTTAACCCTATTGATAAGGGTTTTCCTATGGTCAGTGGTCAAAGGGCATGTCATCATGTTTGTAGACTTACATTCAAAATTTTATTGAACTACTATTTTATGAATGTATGTCATACAGTTTGGTATCAAATTGTATATTATAAGTCAAATTTTAGTATTACATATTAATTAATTTCTTTCTTTAAATGTATATGTTAAAAAAAAATCCTGAATATTGATTTCTGTGTCATGTGATATGTTGAATGCAACTTTGGTACAAATTAGATGTTTGTGATGTCCAAATACAAAGTCTAAAGTTTCTTATGAATTAGAAACTCAAATTACCAATACTGACAGGCTAGAATATCTTATCTTTTCTATTTGCTGAGATATCACTATATTTAGTGAATCAAACGCAGTGGCCATGCCCACCTCTTACATTTTTGGAAATACTTGCTTACGTACACCCACTTTGCTCTATCATGTGTTTATAACCAATCAAAAGCTCAAAATTCCCCCATCTGGTTTTTTCAGCCTCTATAAGGTGGGAATTTCCCAAGATTATTTCTTTTGTCTCCAATCTCAGAAAGGAGTAAGTGAAAATGTTCGAAAAACAATATTTTTTTCAGACCCAAATACAGTTTAGTTAGTACGTCTGATAAATTACAGTGGAATTCTGTAATATTGATAGAGTAATTTATAATTTTTTTGTTATTTCAAAATGCATATATAAAATCTAAAAAAGTTATTTTGTTTTACATCCTCCATGTGCAAAATTTGGCAAGGCTTAACATGCAAGGTACAACAAGCAAGTACAGACTTCTTTACAATCCTAAATAGTAGAGATTGTTGTTTTCTATATATCTTTATTTACTGTTCTATGTTTTAAGAAAAATAACTGAAATGTAAGAAGTTATTTGTAAATAGTAATAATATATATAAAATACATATGTAATGTATTATAACCGAAATGTGACTGTATTTTACAAAATACTGGTCCACTAGAACAAAGCCAAGACAGGTCACTTTATTAAAGCCAGTTTTATACTATTGGATACAGTAAAATGAGGGCACATGCACCACAACTTCTGTAATGCTAGTCAGACATGGCTGAAAGGTCAATAAAATAAAAAATAATAAATATATAGATGTATAATGTTATGAGATTCAAGCTATTTAGACTAAACGTTTGTAATTTCATGTTATAATATGCAGTCATTCTAGAACAAAAAAAGCATAATTTATATCTATTCCCTAATTTTCTATGGTGTTTGCGAGGTCAGTCAAATTGACTAAATCCATACAGAGATACAATAGTGAAAATAACAGATAAAATAAAGTTTTTTCTAAAAAAGTTTGATAATTATGTGGAGGTTATATAGATTTTGCATGTGAAATTTGACAATTTTCTGATGCATAAAAGTATTTTTAATCTTAAAATCAAAATTATTTTGGATGTTGGGTAGTCAACATTCAAAAAGAAAAAGTGCATGAGCAAATTATTATTTGAAAAATACTAAAACCTGATATAAAATTTGATATTTTGTGTATCAATGCCTTGTAAAACTTACCAATAATCTGTAAAATTTCGTGAAGATACATATACTGTATTAAAAGAAAACTGCACAAAATGGTCAGTCCCTGGGATATTGGATATTTTGCCTTGAACATTATATTTTGATGACATTTAAAGACACTTGCATGTTCCTTCTTCAGACACTTTAATTACAAATGCTAAACTTAAGCCACTTCACTTTACTGCTAACTTTGTACTTCCAATTATGCTTGTAAGAATGCCATACATCAGAGATCGTGTTCTATTTTTTATTTGCTTAAAATAAAGCAATTTATATTTTTCACATTAAAATTGCACTGCAATTTGTTTAAAACTTTTATAAAAGTTGCATGTGAAAATGAAAAAAAGGTAAGAAAAGTATATTTTGTCACCTTCAGTAAAAAGGAACATCACTTCTCAGCATTAGATATTGCCTCTTGCAGGACTAAATGTTCGACATACCATTTATTGTGAATAAAACTGCAAAGAACTTATGAAAACATGCTTGCACATATTTGTTTTTTTATAAATAGATGACTTAGTGTAAAATATGAAAAACTTTCCTCCTATTTCTAAAATGTTTTTGAACACTTACTTTTCGTAAACTAGATAAACGTGGTGGTGGTGCTGTTGGCTTCTCAAACTCAAATATTATAACAGCAGCTGAAAAATAAAACAAAAATGAGTTCATTTTCATAATACTCTTGAACATTATAATAAGTTTTAAATCATTTTACATAAATTAACTCCAATGGTCTAACTACTTTCAATTAAAAAATTGGGGAAATTATACATATTATATTCTGTATTGGGTAGATATGTTCTTCTGGAAATAGGCTATGTTCTTAAAAACTATGACACTTTTTTTTTCTTCTAATACTCCAGATGAAGGAATAATGAAAAAGTTAGATAAATTAGGTATCAAAATAAGATAAAATCAAGTTAATTTCACAGTTCATTTGGCATTTTGTTTCATATACGAGTCTCATTCAAGTAATATGAAAGAGTCAAGATATTGAAAAAAGTTATATAAAAAAGACCACCAAAAGGTACATTATTAGCTCTAAACCATAGTTTTAAATTAAGAAAAGAAGAGTTAAGTTTTAATTTTACAATCATGTTTTGATTATCTGTTAATGGTTTTTCTTCTGAACATATTTCTTCTCTTTAACTTATTGTACAGTGGTTGTAATTTTTTAAAATTGAATATGCAAGGTCTAACATATTTGTGAATAGAAAATCATTATGCTAAGACGATAGTGAATTTACTAACAGCAATTTATAAGCATAATGAAAATTATTTTATATATAGAGATTATATTATATATTTCAACAGAACATTGGTTTCTCTTCCTCAGGTAGAGCTGAAGAAGACATTATTTTCACTGCATAAAATAATTTTCATTATACATATAAATCTTTATTTGGCAAATGACAATTAAAGTCTTACCTGCTACAAGAAGTAAACATTAGAAATATAAATAAACAGAAGCATGCTGGAATATGAGGGTTTCTTAGTTGAAGGAAAATAATCCTAAATATTATAACTCTTAAACTAAGAAAAAAAACTTACAATCTCTAATTTTTTTTTGAACCTCTGGAGCTAGAAGATTCCAGCTTGTGCAATGAATCACATGGTTTGCATGGTGAATTAGATAACGTTCACTCTGTCTTTGGAGTCGACGCAGCAGTTCTAGAAAATTCTGTTAATACAAAACCACTTTAAACTGAAAGAGCAGCATTCAATAAATATTATTAGCAACTTAAAAATAAATAAGCACAATATATAAAAACTTAATATTAAACAAAATAATTAGCAAATAAAATATGATTTGATGACTGGCCTTGATCATAGGTTTCTCTCTCTCTCTCTCCAATAATATCCTCAAATTTATTCTAGCAATAATTCACACTTCCAATTTGATTTAAGTAGCATCTGATTTTTTTCACTTTTTTAAATGACAAGGGAAATCTATGAAGCCAAAATTCCTGCCTTTTCTAATTCACGTGCTATGTTATACATTAAACTTTAAAATATTACCAGATTTTAGTAGTTCTGTTCGTTAAAGTAACAATCATGCAGGAAAACAAAATGTGGAAATATGTATTTGTACTGCTAGGCCTAATATTGCCACTTTAGCCCTAACTGTGCCAACAGTAATAATAAGCCTGGAAACCTAAACATATAAAATTCAAACTACTCTTGGTAAAAATTTGATGGATTACATACTGACTAATTTGAAATTTAAGTTATAAATAAATAAATTAGTTATCTGTACCTACATCAAACTGTACGTATTGTTGTGAATCAACTACTCAAGGCTTTACTAAAGTAAATAAAATACTTTGTGTTCTAATATTCCTTTTCTACTGAATTTTTTTTTTTCATTGTCTCAAAACTTCATTTTCAGTAAGACTGTCACTAAGAAAGTTTTCAAAATGTATCATATTTTATTGAAAATAGACAGAAAGAAGGAAGGGAAAAATATTTATTTTAGTATGTTTTTTTTATTTAATTACAGTTTCAAATAATCCAGATAATTCAGTGATCCCAAACAATTAGAAATATCATCAGGACTTCATTTATAATGGCATCTGACAGAATTGTTGTTACTACTTCGATATGTGACTACAAACTGCTCTAAGTTATAAAATTAACAATTAAGGCAACTGAAAAAAAAAGTCAAAAACTTTATTAATATATTTCCATTTCACTACTATTAATTGTATGTTACTTCTAACCTCTGTCCAGTCCCCTAATTCTTGGGAGCCCTGTGTCTCTGCCATGGGGAGGAGTTGACCCAATTGGACATATGTCCGACAGGCAGTGTCTGGGGTCAATTGCTCTACTGCTGACAGGATATTGTCTTCTACAGCTGTCACATTCCAACTTTGACCCTGCAACATCATCAAGTTGGATTATAAACTTCTATACTGAAAGTCTATAAATAACTATTTTTATGGAACTTTCTATTTTCTGTGATTATTTCAAAACAATAAACTTTCTGATCATTGAACAACTAGCACTGAGAATATGCATTATATTTCTCTACTTTATTTATAAATATAATTTGATTTTCATTCAATGTTTACTTTATCATAATGGCTTAAAAAACGATGAAAAAAAAATACAGCTCACCTTTCCCAAAGCCAGAAAACCATCACTGGTCACCACTTTATCAAATTTCACAGCCATGAAATGAATACAATTTTGAATTAGACGTGTCACAAGACCATAAACTGGCTCAGCCCACTTGATATGAGGCAGTGAAGCTAGTAAACGATCACAACTGAGGAGCATTTCTACAGATGTTTCAATTGTCTGGAAATATAGTAAATTTCCTACAATTCTTCCTGACAATTAATTTCTTACAATAATATATATATATATATATATATATACATATATAAGCTTACAAAAGTAATCTATATCAATAATTAATTGTAATAACATAATTCTTACACAGATTTTTACTTGTCACTATGAATTTTGTTCTATTTCCATGCTTCAATAAAAAAAAACTCAAACAATTACACTTACAATAATTACTGAGTCTTATTTTCATCACTATCTCTCAGTGTCGAAACAATCAAATAAATGACAAAAACTTTAATACCATTAAAATGTATTTCTGTGTTTTGATTGTCTTTGTTTTGTGAAACCAATGAATAGTATTACAAGTTCTAAAGAGCATTCTTCATACACTTTAAAAAACAATAAAGTACTAAAACAGTTAAAGAGGCCAACATTTGTGGGCAAATGCAACATGTTTCTGCCTTACAATCCCAACATGGCTAATTTTGACACTAGAAAAATTTAAAACTGTCTACTACCTTTTTTGTGAGCTCTGACACCCCTAAAAGATTCAAAATAAGTAAATCTATGTTAATGTGTTGGGTGCATGGAAATTTATATTTTCACCAATTTTCATCTTGATTGCTGTAAATATGACCACACAAGAGTCCATACTATAAATTTTTGGGGTTTTGATTTTTAATCCCATAAAATCCTTGAAAAGATCTAAATAAAAAATAAATTGGTGTACTTGTACAATACACACATACCAAGTTTTGGAGAGCACTCTGATAACACTTTTCCTGAAATTCATTAGAAAGCATAGCAAAAGCTTTGTGTGTCCATATCCGAGTGAAGTATTTGCCCATCCAACGAATGGCTTTGTTCTGTAACTCCTGTAGCCCACATGATTTTGTTAGAGACAAACATTCTACCACTCCATTGATACATTGGTTACAAGGCTACTCAAAAAAAACAAAAAAAAACAATTATATATATATATTTAACCTTGATGCTGCAATAATTACACTTAAACGCCTCAGTTACATGTTCTAACACTTCTCATTTTCTTAACACAAAACAAAAATTACCCTTCAGTGGCTCATTTACATGTTCTGGCACTTCTCATTTGTTTAAAACAAACATAAATAATGTCTATTACCTTAAATGTAAAATGAAATACAGAAAAAAAACAACAACATAAGAATCAGTATTAACTAAACAGAAATATTAAAATTAAATTAATTAACACATTTAAGCTTATCCAAATTTTAGCCACTAGATATTTAATTGGAAAAAGTTTTAATCTAAACTTTGCTGTATATATTGCTTATATCGGCTAATGTTTATTTTAAAGTTTGTTGTAAAGAAAACAAAAAGCATAAAATGTTCTTATGGTAATATATACAAGTTAATAATAATCTCAAATGCAAATCTCACAACTACAACTCAAAAACGTTGCTTTAGACAAACTGATTCTGTGTTTTACATAAAGAATTTTAACTTATCTAATGAATTGTATTTCTTTCATTATATATCCACACATTTTTTCTTATACATTTATTTTGTTCACTTCTTAACCAATAATGTAAGAATTACAACTGCCTTGAACATGTTTTCTTAAAAAGGTCCTAAATCAGATAACATTTACACCATTTATGTTCATTTTGTTTCCCAAAGACTTTCATGAATCAAAACTGAGATTTGATGGATGAAAAAGCTAGTATCACAAACTCTTCTAGGTTTTTAGCAAACTATTATTAAGTTCTTCTCCGAAATAATAAATTTAATTCTCTACCCTAGTTGTGTTCTGTATTTAATCATAATTTATATAAGTGAAATCATGCAGTAATGCTATCCTATATTACACTGTACTGTTTATATAACTGTAAAGAAGCATATCAAATTAAGTTTTCTAAGTAACAGTCCTTAAAACTCACAAGATTTTGAACAATTTTACTGTGAAGTTTAGTATACGACAAAGTATTTTCAATCTAATACTTTTCTCTTTAAAATTCTGCTACTTTGAAACATTATCATTACACTAGCTCAGTTTCACCTTATAATCAAAATGCTTCAATTATAAACTTTTATTGGTTCGTTTATATTTAATCAAAAGGTTGAAGAGGTCAGAAGCATGCTGGGATTAACAGGGTTCAAAACACATAAATGCTAATCATTAGATACAAATGAATTGCTATGTTTGTTTGTTTATTTCAGAATATTTATGAAAAGCAAAAAAAAAAAAAGAGCTATCTGCTCATTTCTGTCCCAAATTTTGAAGTGACAGACTAGGTAGTTGAACAATACTACCCACTGCCAGCTCTTTTGTCAATGAATAGTGGAATTGAAAATCACATTATAATGTCTACAGCACATACAATCAACTTTTCTGCTAATCTTGCCTACTGAATAATGGGATTTGACCACCATTCTTATCGTGCATTCACAGTCCCCAAAGGGCCATGAACTACGAACCTTTGGATTAACAGCTGAAGCAAGTATACTTACCCAGCTTAAAAATTAATTGCAAATGAATAGAACATTTTGCTCACTTGCAATTTTATGGAATTAAATTTTAGAGGTCATTTACCACTTATAACGTTCATGTTGTGATACAGTTTGCACAAGTAACATGTAAAGGGTTGTTGAGCAGCTAATAATCCTTTGTTAAGTATAAAATTAATTTTATTTTCTTAAACAAGAAATTAGTTTTATACTCAAAGAACATATTACATTACATCATTTTACTGGATTCCTTCTGATTCATGTGGTACAGCTCTGGATTATTTGCACAAAGGCACACTCACATACATACATCTTTCTAACCACAAATTACTTGTTAAAATGTGATTTAAAATAATAATAAACAGAGAATATTGATAACTGATTTATGCTCAGCATCCAAAAACATTAAACATTTGAAGGCTAGTAATTCTACCTCAAATAAATGGTTATATACAGGCCCCAGTAAAGACAAATGCAATATGATCCAATTTTTCAAAAAAATTCTTTGCTAACAGTAACTATTAAAACATACAAATAAATAGGTTATAATATTATTAAATTTTGTTTTTTTTATTAACTGCACAAAAGTCACTATTGTAGAAATTCAGACTTACTACAAAATACTGATGATGAATAATTTGTACAGATGAATAAAATTATAGTTATAATTAAAACAAGTCATGTTATAGAAGTGGCAAGTGGCTATAATGATGCAGATGCTGGATTAAAAAATAAGAATTAAAACATCTATTTTGATCATTGCATCTTATCAAAGTTATACGAGTGTAAAACTAGACTTGCCACTACTTACATATACATCTGCTTTTGACTTTCAGTTGTTAATTCAAGGTAAAACATAAAGAAACAGCACTAGATTTAGGATAATGTACACATAATACAATACTAACTCTGTGAAAGAAGTGACAGTAATTCATCTTCAGGTGGAATATTACCACTTCTTTTAGGCTATCTAGAGCCAACATATCAGACAACTGGGCTAACTCTGCAATATTAGCACCTTTAGGCAAGTTGATATCTCCACTGTATATATGACAGAGAGCAAAGTGGACTGCTGAATAACTATACCTGAAAAAGTACCCAATGTTATAATCTCAGGTTCTTTATGTCATCTATACTATATTAACATAGAAAGTCCAAACTACATATGTTCGTAGTTTGTCAACCATAAACATTTTTGAACAAATAGAAAAATATATTAATATTATATTAACTCCACGTTATATTTCAGAAAGATATATATATATATATTTCCCTTCCAATTATATAACATTAAAAAAATGCAGATTAGCATACAGGAATATAGTTGATAAACACAGAAAAAGTTTAAGATACATTCCTAAAATTCCACATAAATCTAGTTACATTAACAGTATTCAGGCTGGTGAGCACCTTTGAGGTGTTGAAAGTATACCTGCATAACAAATTTCAAAAAGTTATGGGAAAATAATAATAATTCTACCTCTATTTCATCAATTGTTTTACTCAAAAATATTTTAGAATTGGAATTTTGTAACATTCATTTCAAGTACTTCATAAAGACAAATGAAACAAGTGTTCAAATATACATTTCTGCACAACTCTGGAGAATCTCCCTAGTAAACATCACATTTATCAACATGTTGTAAAATTTTATTGCCCATCCAAAGCATAGGTTTATATTTACTAATAAATTATCATCATTTGAGAATATAACTGTCAAAGTTTTAATTATCATGTGATTTTCTTTCTATTTTACTGATTTTATTAGTACATCCTTTTATGACCTTGCAGCAGATCAACTGGAAAAACCACTAAAGAAACACTATTTAAATCAATGTAAAGAGATGTGAGAAGTAATTTGTGGTTTTCAGGGAAAGTAACTAAATGTAGATCCTCCATAGAAGAACCAAAACACCAATGACAAAAATCAGCAATCTGGGAATTTTTTTATAGTTTCGTTTGAGATTCTTGTTATTCCTGAAAATATTGTCATGTTAAATTATACTTTTTTGAAAGCTATAGAAATTTTCTTCTATGACAGGACATCAGGTAAGTTTAGTTAGTTTACTGAGAATAGTTTGCGAGAGCAAAATATTCCAATCACTCACATCCTTATTTATTGATTACTGTTAAGTTTATCATAGTCAAACAACATACATAAGTAAAATAACTTACTATTTAGTGAAAATTAACTATATCAGATATTTAATGATTTCAATCAAAAATATTGTTAGTAAAAAATACAGTTATCTAGCTTGCCTGAGACCACTGTGATATATCAGGTTATAGGTCACTCACAAATCTTTGTTTTCCCTTGTTTTTTTTTAAATTTATAGCAGGAAGTGGTGACTAATGCAATTGACAAAATAGAGTACCAAAACAAATATGTTACCAAACATCAATTACGTTGAAACAATTGTGTACATAAAATAAACTTGCTGATCAACAATAATACCAAAAATAATTGAAGTTCTAAGACAAAAGAAAGTATTTCTAATTCTTCTTCAAAATAAGTGTACAAATATTTTGGAAATTTCCCAATGAAAAAAATGACAAAAGAATTAAGTCAAATTATATGATTTTTTTAAACCCACAGATAGATACTATTTAATAAGTTTGTTAGTAAGTTTATTGAAATTTGGTTAAATATTTTGTCCTTGTGAAGGAAAAATATCAAATATTTTATTTAAATCTTACAAACAACAGTTAAATTTATATCATGGATACATGTCATAGTCTCTGAATTGGTGGCCTTATTTCTTAAAACTACATTTTTTTACATACTAGTGATTAAACTCATTTGCACTGTGTTAATATTGCACCTTTCCAATGCCTTAATAAATTTAGTACGTATTTATAAGATAGTCTTTACCCTTGCATTTTGATGATATCACCTGTATTTTCAGTCCAATCTCCTTTCAACATGGCTTCAAAGTATTTACATCGAGAAACCAAAATACACCTAAACCATAAATACCAAAATTAATCTAAACATACATTAGAATGTAATCTATTCACATATGTTTGTAAGTTATTTCTTCATAAAAATAATATAAACATAAATTTCTCAAAATGTAGAGTTTAACACAAAGATTTGAATAAGATACTACCACTTACACACAGATTTGCTGCCCAATGATTAATTTTACTGGTCTCCCAAAACTTTTATTTATCAGTTTGTTGTTGTCTTTTTTTGAAAACAAAAATGCTATTAACAGTACTCAGGTATTTTAATTACACAAATAAGTTGATATTATCATTCAGATGAGAGATAAATTTCTTAAATCACAACACATCTGAATGTTCCTCAGAGTAACCTAATGTGGAAAACTTACATTCCTTTTCATCACTGCCAAAAGCAATTTTTTTTAGAATTAAAGCAAATATATTACATATAGAAACTATGAAATACAATGACTCTTTTAATTTCGGTTGGTTCATAAATTTTAACTAAGTGGCAAATAATGCTTGTCTTTCTAAATGTGAATTTTGCCATTTCAAAAATTACATGTTTCTACAGGGACAAATGTTTGGCACCAAACCAATGTACTTCCTATTGCTAAGTCTTTAAGTTAAGAAAATAAAGATGTTTTATTAGATTAAGCACATATACTCACTTGTGAGCTTTTATATCTCTTTCAGGTAATCGGATGATGACATCAGCATTTATTTCTTCTAAGAACATCCGAAGTAAATCTTCACCTAGTTTAGAACAAGCCTCATAAGATTTGTAGTTGGTACTACCTTCTGGGCTGTTTCTGCCTTGCTGATAAGCTCTATCTAATAAAGTGTTGAAACTTACAGGTCCTAAAATAGATGAGCTAATGTCCGACACTTCAGAGTAAATAGTTTCAGAGTCATCTTCTAAGTCATAAGATGGAGGAAGAGGAAGAGGAGATAGGAATTGACTTATTTCACTGTTATGTACATTTTCTTTCCTGGGCTCGAAATTCTGGTAAACTTTTTGCTTTTTTCCAGGCTCAAACTGTTTCTCCACATTGAACTGCTTCTCTGAAATTCTCGGTCTTTCAATCTTTTCAGGTGAACTAACAAATTCTCTTTGAATTCTGGATACCGCAGGTGTTATTGGGTGACTAACTACTCTTTCAGGAGTTTTAAAATTTGGAGATTGTGGGGGTGGACTTACTGGTATTTCTGAGGATTTTGTATCTGTAAATTTCATGGGTGGACTTACTAGCTGTTTCATACTTTTGGTCAGCTTCTGTTGATTTTCTAAAGCTATTTCGGTAACTATTTCAACACTTTCTTCTAATTCATTAGTAACTCGTTCATTTGAATCATTAAGTGAAACTTTGCTTCTGGATTTTGAGTTTTTGACCAATATTTTCTCATCAGAAGATAATACTAAAACAGGAGTAATATGGGAATGTTTATCTGTGGGTGTTAATATTACTTCTCTTGCTCTGTCTAATTCATCAAGTTCTGTACCAGAACTAACTTCTTCATAACTTTTCAATTCAGAATTTTTTGTTTTAATTGAAGTAGTTCTTTGACTCATATTCACCTGTTCTACTGCACTTGTAGATTGCTTCTTTGAATCAATGTTTGCAGTATGACTCATTACTATAGTTGAGTCTTCTAACTTTGACTGATATATGTCAGGGGTAGGAATCTTATCATCCAAATGAGTAGTTTCTTCAGGGGATTTAAACATCATTAGAGGATACCTTTCTGCTTTTTGTTGGATGTTGTGAACTGTGGCATCATTCTGCTGTTCCTCTGATGTTACTATGTCTTCTTTATAGCTGTATAATGATTCTGTTTTATCTGGGTCAACTTCTTGTCCAAAGGTTTCTTCTAGAGAGTCCTTGCTGATAGATCTTATGGTTTGTATTGAAACATTTAAGGGAAATGTCAAGGCATTCACATCTTGTGGCTTTATTGATTCTTTGACAGCCGTATCTTCAGGGGGTGACTTCAACAATTCTTGTTTTACACCCTTACGTTTCATTATAGGGCTCATTGGTAATAGCCCTTCCTCTGAACATGCCTGGTATGCTGAATGTGCAACTTCATCATCTAGCTGGGTCTCTATGCCTTTAATTTGTTTTGCTATTTCTTCAGTAGAATTGTTATGTTCTAAAGATTCTTCTTGTTGTACCATTCTTAAAGGTACATGTTTTTCTTGGTGACCAGAGCTTTCTCGATTTATTATTTGAGTTGCTGAATCTGTCATATCTTTAATATCTTCTAATTTTTCAGTGTCCAGTTCAATAAGACTACTATACATTTCTTGGGCAGATCTAACACTATCATTTATCTTTCCATTCATTTCAACAAACATGGATACCGACATAGGATGTTTCTTTTCTTTAACTCTTTGCTGAGATACTTTCTCAGTTTCTTCAGGTTTTATTGAATCCAGATCCACATACATATAACAAGAATTCCCTTTCTTTCTTTCAGAGCAGGAACTCTGTTCTAAAGTTTCAATAGAGGTCATCTGTGGTTTCAGGGAATAGGCAGCTTGTGTATCATCATGAAGAGTACCAGTGGAATCTGTACACAAGTATGGACCTTCCTGGGTTTTTTCTACTGTAGTTTTAATATTTTCTTCTGGGATTACATTGTTCATGTCAATGTACAATGGAAAAAGTGAACCTGAACAGACTGGAGAAGATAACTGGTTGTTTTCAGCAATATTTTCCAACACTTTTTCACAAGTAGAAGATTTAACACTAGAGCAGCTCATCACAGAACACATTAATGAAGATGAAAATTCTGTGTCAGACATCAAAGACTGGCTTTGAGACATGAAACCAGAATCTGTCATGCTCCCATCAAGATGATAAGTTGATAATGCCTGTACATGAGAGGTTATAATAGGTGGTTCATTTTTTTCTCCCTTATCCTTCAAGATGCTTGGCTTATCATGAAGAAAAAAGGATTCTTGTTTCTTATCTGTTTTTGGTATGGTAATTTCTTGTACAGGTGTGACTTCTGCCTCTTTTTCTACTACAGTACCTTGGGAGTTTTCTTGCAACAATGAAGTATTAAGTTCAAAAGTGTCACTTCTTGGTAAACCCCTCTTTTCACACTTAAGACCTTGTTGTTTTTTAGGTAAGCTAATTACAGGAGATTCTTTTTCTTCAGAAGTAGGCGAAGAGTCTTGAAAATCTGTTTCTAAACAAATTTTAGAAGAACTTACTTCAGTGGGAAGTAAGTTTTGAGAACTATTTTGAAGTGCAATCAACTGTTTATTATTTTCCTCGCTCTTCACATCAACATTACATTCTGTGACTAGTTTATTATTATCTTTGGTTTTCATGACTAGTTTTAAATCATGAAATGAAGACACGTTATAAGAGTCTTTTCCTGACTCTTGCTGAGTAACTGTTATCTCGAGAACTTCTTCAGGGACACGTATGATTTTCTTCTCTGGAGAAAGAGGACTAGATATAGGGGTGAGATAAATATCACCATTTGATGATAAATAGCCACCACTTGTTTGCAAACTTTCTTGTTCTTCAGTTTTGGATGTAGAGGAGGTTTCTTGAGTGGAAGAAGCAAGTTCACTCAACTTTTCTGCTTCTGAATATTTTTTGTTTAATCTAACAGCTTCACATTCATGTCTTCTGATGTCATCTTCTGAATAAACCTTCCTGTACAATTTAAATAAATTAAGATTCTGAAAGAACTACAACTCAAAAAAGGAGTACTTACCAAACAAGATGAATTGTAAAAAGCATCAAAAATACAAAATATAAATTATACATAGTTTTAATGAGGTTTGGTTGATGTTAAACCTTTTCATCAAATAATCATCTAGAAATACATTGAGATGAATGTTATTGTTGTGTGTTTTCATCTAGTACATTACCGTGTTCAGAACTACATACCCTCATATTATGAGATACAATGTTTTTAATGATAAATTTTCATTAGTAACATAAAAATCATAATTACAGAGATGCCAAATGTTTAATAGTTTACAATACGGAAATTCCAAAGAACAAGATAACTCACTCAGTGGTTATAATTACCTAAGTACCGAATTCCTGATTCATCCCATTCCTGAGAATTAGACACTTTAAATAATTACCAGTTTCTAGACTGTCCTCTATATTACGTGAGGAGCGGCTTGAGCTAATGGTTTTAAATACCTAAGCACTATCTATGCACAAATCTATATATACACTAGAATATCTAATATAACACAAAATTTTATGTAATGAAGTATGACAGAAAAACAACAACAACAAAAAATAATTTATTTGGTGTGTATTATTATAAAAAAATAAATAGCTAACATTTTCTTACCTCGAAATTTTTTGCAGATAGAAACTTGTTTCACCACAGAATAGAAAGTTATTATCTCATACCACTGCCAAAAATGTTTGCACATGTGCCAAGCCTTGAATGAAACTTCCACCAATACACATATTAACTCTTTCCATACAGCAGGGTTAAAGTGATAGTTCATGACTTTCACAGAGTTAAAGCAATCTTCAAAAACTTGGCATCAAAACATAGTTTATACATTGTAGTTGAGAGAGGGGTCATCAACCAACTTCATAAGGAAAGAGTAAATATATACTGTACCAGTCTATGATTTAATCATCATTAGACTATAGTCCTCCACCAATAGGAGGATTTATTCTTGACAACGAGAAAGAAACCCACTGTATGTGCAAAGGAAGGGTGGGATGCTCTGTGGTGAGGTGAGTATCTATATGAAATATATTTTGAGGTAAGCAGACTGTTAACTTCAGAAATGCTATTGATATTTCCACAGAACAGATAGCTAGAATCCCATGTTAATAAGATAGTAGAGAAGTCAATGTAGATAAAGATGATGAGTTCTTTTCTGAAATTATATTGTCAAAAGGGAAAACTGGAGCATGTCATTCACTGGGAGAAAGGGAACCTAGTGGGCATCACTTTGTGGGAGACTGCATCCTTCCCAAGCAAGGAAAACTCTTACGACAATAAAGGTGGTAGAGAAAAAGATACTGCAAAAATAACCTTCTGCATAGTGCTAAAGTGTCACATGGGTGGGTGGAATGTAAAGATTGTTCAACCTTCCAGTTCATCTTAGGCAGTTAGCTGAGCATAGGTGTGAAGTGTAGTTAGGACAATAAATCAGGCCATACAGTACATGGGAAATACTTACTAGAATAAGTAGATGCAGGAAGAAACATCCCAAACCTGCCTCCTGAAGCAAACTCAAGACACACAGATGGCCTAACCACCAGAAGTTATAATTTTCCTGTACTGAAAATGTATTTCTGATAGGTACCCTCTATATGCAAAATAATTTTTCATATGCCACAAGCCTTGAGCTCCCACATACCCCATGATCAACGTGGTTCAACTGCATCATGCATATAAATCATCATGAGACAACCCTCCACCAACAGGAGTGTGACACACCTTCCTGATGCATGTGACTCCCTCTATTTGATTCTACCGTTCGAGTTTTGGCAGAAAATGGAAGTACGAGTTTTCAGTGTGGAGGGAGGATAGGAAGTGTGAAAGGAGGTAACTACCTATCGGAAATACATTTTCAGTATAGGGAAATTATAACTTCCGACACAGTACATTACCTCTGCTCATATAAATAGCTAGAATCCCACACTGAATAGGTGGAGTGAAAGATAAAAATGGAGATAAAGATGATTCCAAGTTAAAAGAAGAGATTCGAGTGATTGAGGATCACATAATAAGGTAGACCAAGATTGAAAAACTGCTGACATTTTGGTAATAAAACATATTACACAGGTCAATGTTGAACTTTATAAAAACCAAATCTTCTTAAATGCTTAAGTCAAAACTTTGCTTATTTTTATGATAAAACAGTTGTATTTAAAATTAATTACATTTATATATAAAAAACTTAAAAGAATACATTAACTATAAACTGACACATTATTTTTAATATATGAGAAATCACATACAATAAATGTGTTAACAGTTACAAAGAAAACTATAACTTTACACATGTACACAGTTATTTTAAAAATCATATGCTAGTGTCAACAGCAGAAATTTTTTAACACTATACATGAAGACTATATTTAGTTCCAAAGTTTACACAAAACTTAAATAAATTAAAACCTTTTTTCATCAGAACTTTAGGTAGTCATTTACATATGAATAGTGACAATGAAACATGCCTGCTATTTCATTATTAAGATGCACAATAAAGCTGTAAGTTTTAATTTAAAATTTGTTGATACTTTAAAAAAATGTGAGCTACAAGCTCAATAATTATTTTTTTCTTTTTATTGCTTAGTTTGTGGACAAGGTAGAATAAAAATTACATGCTCAAACCAAGGTTTTTTTTTATTTAACAAAGTCTCACCTTAAAAAGGATAATAGTTCCACATTACTAAGATAGGAATTAAAGCCACTGTGACTAGTTTGTGACTGTTGATGACTCTGGCTAAGTTCACAAAGAAATGCTGGTACCCGAACTTTTAGTATAGCTTGGTGAGTTTTAACTGCTAGAGGAGTTGGTATACCCGATGATTTGACAGTGATATCAGAAAAGCACCCTTCATCTAACAGCCTAAAATAGCAAAAGTATAACTGGTATCAACTATACATGTTAAGTGAAGTTATTGTTAAAAAAAAAAAGAGATTTGCATTACACCAAAGCTTGACTCAAACCAGTTGAAAACTGAATTGTACTCTGAGTTGTTCTCAAAGACATTAAACTATAAACTCTACAGACCCCTAAGTTATATTACCTAGAAGTACTGCCAACCCTACTTTCATTAATCTCTTTTAATTGAAGTTAGAAGTATTACACAGGGTACAAAATAATGGCTGAACATTTTTCAAAAAACAATCAATTTTTGCCTATGATCAGACATATACTCTTATAATATTTAAATAGTAAGATCAAATCAAAATAAGTGATTATGAGATTATACATTCTCATTTCTGATGTGAACTTGTGCATTTGCTGTAAGCAACATAAATCTGACACCTGCTTGGCAGTTTGCAACACCTCACCCACTAGCAACAAAAATTACAACCTTCTATTTAAAGTTTTTATTCTGCAGGTTTGAGTTCTGAAATATTTTCCTAATAGACTGTTTCATTTGATGTTTAAATAATTTGTAACTTTAAGAATATTTAGTATCATAATGGTGTTATAAACTGTTACTTCAATTTAACAACCCAATAAAATGAGCTGATTCTTATATGTAACAATCAACTTACAATGAGAAACTATGAAAAATGAGCTTGGGTTTTTTGATTTTGCATGTGTTTACCATCAGGCCTTAAATGGTTTTACAGGATTCATACCTTAATACATAAAACCCAACATTTTAAGTAAAAATAACACACTGTTTTCACCATTGTGACATTTATGAGAGACACTTGTAACACAGAGTTTGTTTTCTTATTTTGCTTTCATCACAAAAAGCTTGTATCAGCATATAAAGATGCTGCTTACATAATGCTGAAGTCTAGCTTTGATTTGTTTGATGTCTAGTAATCACACCAAAAGAAGTCAAAGAAATATTCATCTTATAAAATGAAAAATTATTAATAAATATTAATTGGCAAAATTTATTGTTATTAAATGCAGTAGGTTAGCAAAATGTACAAGATAATAATAAGTGATAACTTGAAGACATAACATTGAATTATAGTTCACTATTAGCTGACTGACACTCGATTCTGTGGCCACATCGTTTAGGTTAGCAATACTTGATATAATATTACTATTGATGGATATATTAGTATATTTTCTTATTTACTGATGAAGTTCAACTTTTATCTTTTATATAACTTTAAAACTTACTGTAAACATAAAGTAACACTTGCAAGGTGCTGAGTCTACTGATAAACTTAATTTAAAATAGGTGCACAGCTGCAGCTGATACATCACAGCTTAGCAACATCACCAAATGCAGTGGATTAATGGATACAATAGAAACTTACAAAAAGTAAAATGTAAGGTGGGTTATAAAGTTCTAAACAAACTGCAGTTCCTAACACTTTAAACTGAGTCTTGAACAACTAACAAAACAGTATGACTAGAATGCCACAGCACAATGACATTAATTATTCAACTAATCATTTTTCTAGGTTTGACCGGACACTTTGACCTTGTTAAGTGTACTTCTTAGAGAATATGATCAAATTGTAAACAACTTAAATGAAGGCAAGTGAGATAGGTTGTGAAAAAATTTTAGTTCTGAATTCTAGAAAAAAAAGCTTTTTACTTTAATGTACTCTTCCCCCAAATAAATAACTTTGGTCTTCACAAATTAACCTTTTTTTAGGTTCCAGTTAAAAATGAAATCTTATGTGCAATGGTGGTGCACTAAACACAACAAAATACAAATGTACATATAAAAATATCTGTTTTGTTGACAGTTACATTTTACCATAAAAAAATGTAGTACATTATAAGTTGATCAATATGGATTAATTAATATATTTCTGTTACATTAGACAAAAAGGAAACACAAAAATTACTCAAAATGTTTTTGTATATTCTGTATCACATTTACATAACACACTTGAAAATTACAAAAGGGAAGAGATGGCAAACAATATATTTGTTGGACATGGCTAGACAAGGTTAATTACTTTGTTAAAGAATTTTAAACTAATTATTGTTAAAACTTGTATTAATAATCTAAACTTAACATAGTCAACTAATACTAGCCTTATCTTCATAGTATTTAATCAAATACCAATCAGAGATTACATTTAAATAGAACAAATACAAATGTTAAGTAGTGTTAGTGATAAGAAATGTTAATCTCAAATTCTGTAAAACTCAGAAAGCTGGTCCAAAACAACAAATACAGCAAGTAATTTATCTTTTTACTTAAAAAAACATGTTAAAATCACAAGATTAATGTAATTTATATTAAATGTCATAAGATGTAACAAAAAATGAAATATTTCAGTTTTACAAAAAAATGACAAACATTGTAGGAGGTCTTCCTTATATTAGCATATGTTATTAAATATAAATATACACACACAGTCAGCTAATGCTAGCCTTATATTCAGAGTAGTGAATAAAATACCAATCAGAGATTATGTTGAAATAGAACAAAAACAAATGTTAAGCTGATGTTTTGCTTTGACATATTGCAGTGTTATTAATAAATGCTAATCCCCAAAATCTGTAACTTAGAAAGGTAATCCAAAACAACAAATACAGCAAGTAATTTATCTTTTTACTTAAAAAAAAAACATGTTAAAATTACAAAATAAATGTAACGTATATTAAATGTTATAAGATGTAACAAAAAATGGCAAACATTGTAAAAGGTGTTCCTTATATTAGCATATGTTATTAAATATAAATATACATGCAAAAAAAACTGGTATACTTTTGTTGTACCCTTCCAGTAGCACATTACTTACTGAAGCATGTGATGCTGTAGTTGTCTGTGAAGTTTTGTGCGTAACTTTTCTTGCTCTTTTGCACATTTTCGCAAGAATCCAGTACTGGGCTGTGGAGGGATCCCAGCTCTCCCCACCAAGCTGGCCATTGGTGCATCTCTGATTCAATACTTTAAGGGCATTTCCTCACAGTTTCTTATGAAATCTGAAGTCAAAAACAAAATGTGTTTAGCTATAAAATTGATAAACCAAACACTTAATTAATGAGCCTAAACAGTAAATATATGTATACATAAACATACAATAGAGAGGAAAGTGTGTACATGTTGAAAATTTTGCCTATTTAACAGATGTATTTCCACAATAAAACTTCTGTAAGATCTTTTTTTTTGTATTTTAGATGTCTCAAATACAAAAAATATTGATATTAAAACACACTTTCTACACCTGAATATTTGACTCTGTTCCTACTTAATTATTCCATAAGCAAATTTAATTTGAAGTTTAACAAAATATATCACATATTTTCAGAATCAGTCAATATGTCGTAACTTCTATTCCAAAAGCAGACTACAACCTCTACAGTCTAGCCACTAATAAGGAAATATTTCATTTGCTTCAATCACTCCTTCAGAATACACCCCATCCTGGGTTAAAGCTATTTACAGATTACTTGTACTGTCCACCAAAACAGCAACACGTGAAGTAAAACTGACTGGCTCAGTTTATCATTTAAACAAACTTTGGTTCAGTGAAAATATTGAGGAGATATGTTTACTTTGCAGCTTATAATTGGGTGAGCAATGAATAACAAGAGAAACTTACCAGATGATGATGCATATACATGTATCTGTTTATATGATTTGTTTTACAACTACATATACTATTACTCAGAGGTCAAATTAGCAGATTAGAAAAAAATTTCTGAAATGAACAGAAATGCTCACTGATTACATACCTGTACGTAACTACAGTCATTTCATATAATATCCATAGATGTTGATATAAAGCTATTTATTCTTAGAAACAAATAATCTTTGCAAATAGTACTCTCACTAAATTTTTAAGAAACTATACTGCTACTTTATTCACTGGAAGACAAAAGAAGTGGATTACTTACATAAATGTAGAATATGCAATAAACATTAACATAAACAATGTTATAATTTAAATTGAAATACAACAGTCAAGGTCATTTTAAAGATCAGAAGTTATTTATAATTATATAAATCTATTATAAACATAACTTGCACTATTTCACAACAGTTATATTACCCTCAGATATGATACATCATCATGTAAGCACTGATCTAAAAAATCAACAGAAGTCCTCTTCACATATGCAGCTTTTTACAGTTAAAAGAGAAAGCAATTTTCAAAATTATGAAGAAAAACAGTTAAATTTAAACCTTATAACAAGTAAAATCTATTATGCAGTTCATATACACATACGTTTTTATAGTATAAACAAGAGGGAATTCTCAATAGGCTTAGCACTTGAAATTTTTTTAGGCAGGATTAGAGGTAAAATATGTTGAGGTAAAATGAAATGAAATTTTAGCTCCTAATTTTAAGAAAGCCAATTTCTGAGGTCATAAATTTGGTTAATGGGTTGAAAGGTGATATGGGATATAGTTGGGAATATAAAAAATAAATAAATTGCTTCTAATTCAAGATAGGCATATACAGTAATACCCTGTTTAGTGCTCAGGAAGGGTTCCTGAGAACAGAGCTCTAAATGAATCAACTTCTAAACAGGGTGATTTTAACATTACATATATAGAGATATGTAACAAAGGCATTGTTTCTTACCTGTGAATTATGTGTAAGTGCTTTATTTAGGTACTGGTAAACATAGAATGTTACAGTACAGTATTATTTATTAAAGTAAATGAACACAGTCTTAAAAAACAAACACATCAAACTGGCACTGACCCCAGGGTGGAAGGCAGTGGACTTCATTTGGCTCTTTATAATGAATAACACGAATGTTGCAATATTTAAAAAAATCCTGAATTTCTCCTATTGTGAGAATTGTGATATTGTTCCTCTAAGCATCCCCTCTTCTCTATTTTATTCATCACCCCTCCAGTAAGTATGAAATTTAATGTAAATTATTCACTATTATATCATCATCGCTGGAAAAAAGCAAATTTTTATTAGCCTTCAATCTTGTTTGGTTACAGAGCAATCAAATAGAAAATTGGACCCTTCCTGCCATACCCATCTGTCACATCCTCTCTTTCTGGATTTGTCAATACATGTAGTTTTCTCTTACGTTTATGACTATATTAGTCATAACCAATAGACAGGCAAGATTTTCATCTATCAAATGACTTATTATATTGTGTTGTTTTCTGTAGAGAGATTTGTAGATCGCTTTCTAAGAAAATATTTTTCCCCAAGGGAAAGATATTGTGTAGATGGAAGATGTTTTAATGGTTCACATTGTGTCACTAGAAATGCCAGAAAAATTGTGATAGTTAGGGACATTGTATGCTTTTTGTATGTTATTATTCTATGTTCTTTGTTGCATTGTATTATTAAATAAAAATTATTCAGTGCACTACTACCATTAGTTTGAAAAAGTAGTGTTCAGAGAGTTGTGGATTTTCATAATTTTTTTTTCTCTCACATGAAAAAAATAATCTCTCAAGGAGACAAGAGCTCTATAATGAATCAGCTTAAAGCAGGGTGGTGCTAAGCCAGGTCTTACTGTACATAAAAAAAGGAAAAGGACAATAAGAAGACATAAAGGAGAAAGTCGAGTTTTAGAGGTTTAAATTAACAGGTAGTATGGAAGATTTATATAACTATAGGAAAGATATGGATTTAGTTTTAAAAAAAAAGGAACTAAGGAATCCAATAAAGCTCATGAGCAACAGCTGGCTGGCTGACAATGTTGAAAGTAACAGCAAGCTAGGCGATCCTATCCACTAAATTAATCTAAAGAGAAAATCTCAAAGCTAGCCCTTATACAAATATTTATCAAGCTTTCCCTTAAACCCCCTTAAATTAACTGTATCCACCACATCTAAAGTAAAAAAAAAAACTAAACATATTACAATGCCTACTAATCACTCATCCATTCCCTGCATTTAAAAACATAAAAAAGCAAGATCACAGAAAGCCATCTAGCACATCAGTTATCATTCAATCAAATAAAACACACCAAACTGGATTATGTTAAAAATGTGTTTTTTGAATGAGCAAGATTGCACCTGGGCTTTGAAAGCTTAAACATAACATCTCTACAATTCAAGTTTATATTCTGAAACTATTTTATTACACAACTCGAATAGACCACTAGCCCAAACTTTTGAAACTTCTGAAGCTGCAAAATTCCAATAAAAAAAAGCATCTGGACCAAGTCAGCTCTAATTCCACTATACCCCACAGAAAAACAGTTCAAAACTCAACACCTTTCTTGTCATTTAAATTTTTTAAACAAGATATCCTTTCAGTAGTCCATCTTCCACATTTTCCAGTATGTTAACATAATTTCTGTAGTAAAAAGCTCAAAATGCAAACAGTACTCCAATTTTTAGAACCCATAATATATCCCCAATAATTTCTCACTTAATCCTTCTATTCTACTCAAAATTTCTTGTTTGCACTTAATACATGGAAGCACACTTGAAGGAGTTCTAGAAGTTTCATTTCCTTACACTCTAATGTACCTAGTTAATAACTCCTCCAATCTGCCTTTACTAAGATCACTTTTCCACAGAAGTAAGTAAATAGCTTCTGAAACTATTAGCAATTTAAATTACTGGATATTGTGAAATAATTTTCCAAGAAAGCAGCAAAATTTCTAGTCCCTTATTTCCATCATTGGTTTTCATAATTAATGTAATTGGTTTTTTGCATATGTGAATATTATGTATATTTAAACAACAACTGGTAACCAATGTAGGATGTACATGTAATAATATGCATCATCTAGCCATGTATATCTTGACTGTTACTATTTAATAATAGGGTTATGGGTTAAATATTTTAAATATACATTATATGTGCTTTGTATTCACAGTAAACTCACAGTGTATACATACTATCTGCATAAATAATGTTACTTTGTTAGATTAAGTTTTCCAGTCCACTTTTAAACTAAAAAGTTAAGAAAAAAAAGAAGTTTAACTAATGCCTAATTCCAATTTTTACTTTCAAACTGTTCAATTTTCACCACTAATGTTGTTGTGTTATAGCCAAGAATTCAGGCTCCATTTTTTATCCACTCCTGCACTTTAATTATAATTAATATGTTATTTAATTAGCTATGCTCATTACTAATACTAGGTATATATTCTTAGTTTTTATCTATGTACATAGCTTGCTTTAGTCAGAAGTTAATATTAATTTACTTAAGCTGTAAACAAGTGAATTTTAGTCTATTATTACCATTAATAAAGTTATTTGTATTACTAGCATTACATCAACAGTACATCTTTTAACTTATAAAAATTAAATAGTCTCACAACTCAAGTCTCGCAAAAAAAAAGTTTTCATTAGACTATGGTAACTGCTGTATGAACAGTGTAACTCCTTAACAAAAAGGAAGGGGGAAGTCCCTATCTTTCCAAACTAGAATACGAGATCAAAATTTATCCAATTGAATACTTATTTTATGTCAACCTCACTTTATAATTTCAATACTTAAGATATTAACTCCATAAACCCGAGATGACACTACCAGCATCCAGCTAAAAATCCCGATTTACCCCTTGGATGGTGACAGTGTCCGATAACATTTGTCTCTCTTTGGTTGAAATTGAAAACTAATCCAAACCAGGTAATTATCCACCTTTAAAACACAGACTAGAAATTTTATAAGGCATGGTGATAATTATTAAGACATCATGAATGCACAGAAAATTATGGGTTTTTAAGATTTAAGAGTATCATGATCTACCATAGTAGCAGCTGAGCCAGTGTCCAGCATCAGATGAGCATCTATTAATCTACGCAAAACACACTTCATACAACATTACAAGGCTACTGGGCAAATATTGAAATAATTAAATTTAAACTCCTCTTTATTGATTTAGCACTTAGACTTATTCTAACCTCAACAGAACAAGTGACCTACTAGTATTAACTAATTAAGGCTATTTTCTAGGTAGGCCTAGTGCAGCCCCTTAGTACAATAGCGGATCAAATTTTACTGGATCCAGAGGCAGAATGTTCTGAGTTACTCTAACAATTCATAGAATACGAAATGAATTAGAGTAGTTCTATTTTAATTTAATACTCACTTAAATTTTTGATTGGGTCTAAAAATCTCGCTTCGAATATGGCTAATCAAAGTTGTAAAACATTCTGCTTAAAAGCCAGAACAAATAAGTCTAAGCCTATATTACAATTAAATTCATTTTCTCTTCAGCATAAACAATGCGCAAAAGCAAATCGACATGCCAACATCTTTAGCGCCACCGTAATCACAATATAATTATTATTTGATATAAAAAATTAAAGTATTAGAAATTGGAAAGAAAACGCTTACTTTTTTTCTGGTAAGTTTGTAATAATCGATACAAACATTATAAGTATCAAAACTATTACTCAAACTATTTGATCTGTCGAAAATGCCATAGCTACTTCTGTTCTCGATCGCCAGCGTCCCTAGCAACGTTCTGATTAAAGGTCAATGACACATAAGATTCATAAAATCATAATTAACCGACAGAATGCTTTGTCTTTGGTTTGGCCCTTTGCCACAGTCAGCTTAAATTAGTACAATATCAAGTAACTTCATTAACTGAAATAATATTTTTTAAGACGTTGATATCATTTAGAGTTCAAACAGATTATGAATTTCCAATTGTATATATTTGCAATTCTAAATCATCTATACTTTCCTTTATATTTCTTTAAGTAAAATTTAAATTATGCACAGATCATTTTTAGTATCAATCTTCTATTTTTATTAATATGTCTAATTTCACACCTTAGATCAATCACAAACGAAATGCGAGAGAATATTTTCAATTTATTATTAGATAACTGTTTAAGTATGATTCTCTATATTGCTCATAATATATTACCCCTAATTCAATTCAAGTTGTTTGAAATACAACTGTTACAATTAACTTACCAACAGAAATATTGTAAAATGTGTTTGCTTATAATATCGTGTATAATATAGAGGTAGTAAAACCACAATTGTTAGAAATTGGCTCTTTATGAAGTTTTTAATTTGCCCTTAACATTTTTGGCACATATTTTTAACTTTGATTGTCACACTTATGGACAAAATCATGAGATATTTTAAGACGATATATATATTTAGCCTTATACGTGTACCAGATTTTCTGCGACTAAATCATTTTCTTTTTTCTTAGTGTATGCCGAGTTTATGAGCTCATTCACACGACATTTAGCCTAGTTGCCATTTAGAAAGTGTACGAAAGCTAATTAAATTGAATACAAAACCAAAAGTGAAAGTCCGAAACAAAATTATAAATCCAATTAAATGTAAGTTCATGGTTTGGTCATGCCTGAGAAATCATTCAAGCACTAACAGTTTGAGGAAATGGGAAGTCAAACAAGGCGGTAACTTTAAAGGAAGCCAGCTTTGAGTACCTTATATTAATACATATATAATTTTAGAACTTCACCATGTCTTTATTACAGTCTATGTCGCAATATCCGGCCATGCTCTATCTGACGACTGTGAATCTTGACAATAGATCTGCAGTGCAGTTTCCATTGTAAAAGGCTCCATCATAAGGCTATCATGTCCAAAGCACACCTTTCTTCTCTGTTTCGTTCCCATAATCCCATCTAGTGCACGATGGCGACAGCTTCCTAACACCCATTTCAACAGTAAAATTGTGATTTATTCAGGTGAATTGAATTATCATTAGAGCTATCATATAGGTCCACTAAATAACTAGAGATTCATTAAAATATCAATTATGGAGTATCACTAAAATCCTTACTTAACTGAGTCAATATTATACAAAACAATGAGACTGGACACAGATGTAGAACAAAATGCAAAATGTTTATGTAACACAAACAAGGTGTGTGTACTTGCAGATTTTATTTTCACCAGATGATTGTTCATACTGGCTCTTCTATATCCAATCACTCATGTTAAAACCATATGCCAGACTATATAAATGCTAAGTTATTTAGTTTCTAAAAAACCTCACATTTATCCAGTATAACGTGCATTAACCACATGACTGGCTATTCTCATTACAACATAGGTGGGACCATAACTTCTAAGTATCACCTGAACAACGAATGAAGAAGATTGCTGTCAACATTGTAACAAAACGTTCTATTAAACGTTGTTCTTGCCAGGCATTAACAGGTATTACCTACTTTGAGAACAACAGAGGAACAAGGATGATTTGAAACAAGATCAACTTAATGATTTTCTTGACCACATGCTATGTGAAACATGCACATTTTCAGAACATAGAATGAATTCAGAATAAGGATTATAATATTACAAGAAGATAGAAAACCATGGTATGTTCAAATGTCACACTTTCCTATCTTCGCTGATTCAATCCAATGTCTTCAATAAGCTTTAAAATCACGCTGGTCGAGAGTTACTTTAATTTTTTCTGGCTTCCAAAAACACTTACAGACAAACAGATGTCACAAACTTTTAGCAACAGAGAAGAATTATTTGAACTAGATGAAAGAGCTTTTAACTTCTTAATTTTTCACAAATCCTGAAGGTCGTGATGACCTATGAAAAGAAGACCAAACACAAAAAAGAAGCTCACTTGATAAGCACAAAGGAATGAAATTGCCCTGGGGCTACTCAGAGCAGGTAAAATAACCTTATTTTAAATAATAGGGCGCTCATTTAATTCATTGCAATTTATGAAAAGTAACCAATAAAATATTTTGGAAAAAATAATATTTTACTATTTTATTGACAATTCCGATCTGGGAAAAATTATTTAGATCATTAGACAATTATACTTACAAGTTTTTTTCCCCACTAATATAGAGGGGGGGGGGGGGGGGGGTGCTTTAACGTGAAGCTACGCAATGAGCTATTTGCGCTTTGTCCACAGCAGGGAATCGAACCCCAGATTTTAGCGTTGTAAGTTTGTGAACTTACCGCTGACCCACTAGGGGACCAGAATGTCAGAAATTAGGTCGGTGGAGAATTATTCGAAGTCCTAAGTTGTCTATTTTTCCAGTATAAAAAATTTAACAAATTGTACATTTTAAAATACAAATAATACCTTTAGAATTATAGTTATAAAAGTCCTTAATTTTAATCAGTTCTTCTCCTCCGAGTTATAAAATTGGATTTTTGTGTTGGAGGTATTTGTTGTTATACATTAAGCAATTTCTTTCTACTAGAAAGAAAAATTCCTTCCTGTATAATCTTGTTATATTGCTTTGCATGTGGTAATCTATATGTATTTAGAGGTTGCCTTGTTGTCAGCTTGTATTTACACCATTTCATTAATAATTCATTATCAATAACGTGGTCTACTTCTTAGAGCTTACTAAGAAAAAGATTGGGATGATTGGCTATAATGAATACTCCTAACTGTAGATGGCACTGCAAACAGAAATAATATTCGAGACAACAGATGGGCAGCGCCAAATATTGTTTAAGATAAGTTTCTTTGAAGAGAAAGTAGTTTTTAAAGCACACAACTATTTTTTTATATTGAGAATAATAATGTTTAGAATATTGGAAGGCGGTTTTTAGCAAAGTCTTATTGAGGGAGGGTAAAATAGAAACCTCATTCTACCCCATTTTAAGAAGACCAGAAAAATTAATTTTAACTGAGAATAGGCTTCTAATGGCCCCACAATGGCACAGCGTCATGTCTGTGAACTTACAAAGCTAGAAACCGGATTTCGATAATCGTGGTGGACAGAGCACTAATAGCCCATTGTGTAGCTTTGTGCTTAACTTGAAAACAACAACAAAGCTTCTAATGTAGCACATACAGATAGGGAAAAACGTAAACACATAGTAATAATAATTGCACCTTAAATTGCAAGAATGTTGTTTTGCCAATAGTACAGTAGTAAATACATTTTTAATGTGAATATGGCTGTTAGCATGGGCGTCCGCAGGAAGATGCAAGGGGGGCGGGGTCACTACGTGCGAAATTCAATAAACAAACAAACCCTACTTTTGAAGTAATAAGCATGATGGAAGGCAAATAGTCAACAGCACTCACCTCAACTTTTGGACTTGTTTTGTTTGACTGAATAATGGGACTTGATCTTCAATCTT